ATGTTTCAGCAGACAAGCCCGAACGTCGTCCGCGCAGAAGTACAGGTCAAACGCCTCGCCAAAATCATGCAGTGCGCCAGCCCCGACGGCGACCTCCGCGCGCACAGGGTCCTTGCCTACATTGCTAATCGTGTGGGGGGGTGGGGGGGTGGGGGGGGTGGGGGGGGGGGGCGCTCTGGTTCGTTTGCTCATCGGCGCCCGCGCTGACGAACCCACCAGAATCCAGCGGTCCAATGCCGCCATGGGCCGCGGCTTCGCCGAAGACAAGCAGCGGCAGATCAATGCCGAGTTCGCCTCCAACTTCGCGGACGCCCTCACCGCAGCGCAGTTGCTTTAGCCACCGGTGGAGCCCGTGGCTCCTTCAACCCTCTCAAGAGGGCCTCAATGTAGCCTTCTGGAACGCCCGGGCTCTTCTGGGGTACTCCGGCCAACGCCGCGAAGACAAACGTTGTGTGGCTCTACCTTGCTTTCGCCAGCGCGCTCTTCTCGCTGTTCAAGAAACTCGCGGATCCCTCGACGACCTCGCTCTCCTGGCTAATTCGACCCATCGCCCGTGCGAGCCGTGCCGCTCGCCCGTGATCGCCGACGACGTGCCCGTCTCCAACGCTGGCGGCGTCGGGTTCCTCGCCCCATGCGAGAAGAGAGAACGTCCGCTTCCGCCTGGACAACGGCCTCATGCCAGGTTCGAGGTCGTCGTCCCTGGCCGCGCCGCTTGGCTGCGCGTCACGGATGCCCGTCTCCAGTTTGAAGTCGCCATCCTCGACGTCCACAACTGCGGCCTCGCGCCAGCCGGCCGTGTTCATCTTCGCGGCGAATGGCAATCACTCCGACAGCGTGCTGACGAACAGCCTCAACACCGCCTCTTCATGGTCGTGGGTGACTTCAATGTATCCGAGTTCCCCCCGAAGTCCACGGCTGCCCCTGTCGGCTCCGACTCCGCCGCCGCGCAGAGATACCAGTGCCAGCTTGTCTTTTGGCGTTCGCTGTTTCGAGACATGATCGAGATCGCCTCCACGTCTACGACGCGCAGAACCGTGGGCAACATGAGTGAGTCAACGATCGACCGCTGATTCATCAACCTCCTGAGCCACCTCATGCCTCTCATGGGGGCCATCCGCGTCGCAGATGACGCCCCCCTCGAGAACGCCGGGGGCCCGATCGGCGACCGCAAGATCACGCACCTCCGCATCCGCCTCTGCAACCCCAAACAAGCCACCGAGCGTGGCATTCCTGCCTACATCTTCGAGACCGATCACTACAAGCATCGCATCAGAAATGGCCCTCGCTATCATCGACATGACGCTACTCGCCCCGATTGCTAGATGGCGCGCCCTCAAGGCCGCGATGCAAGTCGCAGCCGCCCGCGCAGGCGGCGCGCTAACCAAGATTCCTGCTTCCGAGCTGAAGCCCGTGACTGCGAGCGTCTCCAGGGAGTCCCGCGCCATGACGTTGCGCGGCATTGCCCGCGCAGTCTGATGCCGGAACGTCCCTCTCGCGAAGGCGCTGATCGAGAACGCCGAGATCGGGTGCCTTCACTTGAAGATCGTCGGCAACGCGGTCAGCGTCAACGACGTGGCACTGTTCGCCGCGACCGCGGACGCCGCGCGCGCCAGCCTCAGCGACGAGCGCAACGCACTCTCAGCTGCCCGCTCGCGAGCTGCCTTTGCCGCCAACAACGTTCCCCTCGGCCGCAAGTGGCGTCGGCGTGCCCAGCGAGAAGGTTGCCGCGGCGATCTCTGGAAACCGTTTTCCAATCGCCTCGTCGTGTTGATTGGCATCGATATCCCCGTCGGCAACCCGTCCAACGTCGCGACAGACCCTGCCGCCGTGCACCAGGCCATCATGCGTCGCTGGGCCCCCGTGTTCGCCGGGAAGCATGTGGGCGAGAATCGCCTCACCGACTACCTCGACTCTTGTATTTCCGCGGCGCCAGCGAGCAGAGCAATCGCTCCCCGACGCGCAAGACCTTAAGAAAGCAGCGCGCCTCGCTGGGGGCTCTGCTCCTGGCCCCGGCTGTCTACCATTCCGAGCGTGGCTCCGCGCTCCCAGCAGCTTCGACATCTTCGCCGATGCATGCTTCGACGTCGTTGCCACTCGCAACATCCCGCACGACCAGAATTTCTCTCTCATGGCCATGTTGCCCAAAGGTGGCGAACCGCTGGGCAATGCGGAGTGCGCGCTTTTCCCTAATTGCCTTCGTCCGCTCTCAGTGGAGAGCTCGGACGTGCAGCTGCTGGCGTCCGCCGCCAATCGCCAGCTCCACGCCCTTGCAGCCCAGGCGCCCCCCGAGCAGCAGGACTTCGTCAACGGCCGCCAGTTTTTGAACAACGTCGTCGTCGTGGGCGCCGCCGCGCGTCGACGCAGCCTGTCCCCGTCTGCATCCTCAGACATGCCCGTCTTCGTCAGCATTGACATCGCCGCCGCGTTCCCCAGCCTCGGCCACCAGTGGATGTGGAACGTTCTCGGGCGCTGGGGCACCCGCGGCCACTTGATGCACCTGATCCAGGCATGCTACTTCTGACCTTTCTCGTTCCTCGACTTGGGTGGAGAACGTCGTCCACTCCTGATCGCTGCGTCGGGCGTTGCTCAGGGGTGCCCCTTGAGCGGCGCGATCTGGGCGCTCGTCTTCGACCCCATCATCGTCGCCATCGGCCGCGAGCTCAGCGCCATCCACCGCGGGCTCGTCAGCGCCTGCGTCGGCGACCTCGGCATCATCCTCGCCAGGCTGGCCGACGTTGGTGCGCTCGCCCCCCGCGTGATCGCAGCCGAGATGATCGCAGCGCTCGCCGACGCGATCGCAGCCGAGACCGTTGCGGGCCTCCAGCTCCAGGCCAAGAAGCGCATCGTCGTTCCGACTTGGGCCCTCCCGTCGCAAGACCCCGTCGCCGAGATGCGACGCATCTTTGCGGCTGCCCGCGCCCCATGGTTCAATTTCAAGATTGCGCCCAAAGCCCGCTACCTTGGCTTCTTCGTGGGCCCCGGCGCCGCGCCCGCTGATCAATGGCGCGGCCCCGCAGTGAAATTGTAGGGCCGCGTGGAGAAGCTCCCCGACTCGCGCGCCCCCGTTCAGCAAAGCATCATGCTACGCGGCGTCGCCGCCGTCGCGCGCCTGGGCTACGTCGGCCAGCTCTTCGAACCGCCCGGGGGCATCCTGCAGAAGGAGCTGCAGGCCATCAACATGCTGCTGCGCGTCGCCCCTTCCAGCTTCGCCAAGTCCGACGTCCTCGCGATGTCACTCTGGACGAGCGCGGAGGCCCCCATCGGCGTCGAGAACTACTTCGCCGCCACTCTCTGGAGAACGGCGTCGACCACTGTGACAGAGTGGAGACGCGCATATCGCGAACTTTGCGATGCCGCATGCGACCAGCTCCCCGTCACCACTGCACTGCAAGGCGCGTGTTGCAGCGACTGCTGGGAGATCAAGACCGCCATCGCCACTCCACCTTCTTCGTTGACTGCAAAGGATCGCAGTTCAAGCGCCTGGCGCGCACTGCTGGACCCAGACCCCGCGCGCGAGCCACCGTGATCGCCGGCCAGAAGCGCGCCGCCCGAGCAGGACAGCAAGCCATTATTCAACGCCATGCCCCCTGCCTATCTCAACAACCTGATCGCAATCAACTTCGCAGCGCTGCCAAGATCACGCCTACGTGAAGTCGCTGAACGAGCAGCTCTACATCGATACAATGCCTGACACCATCAATCGCCGCTTGATCGCATGGTTCCCTACGCTGGGCCCTGCCCGTCAACTTACTCGAGAACCTCCATCGGGGCCGCGACGTGGAGCTGAACGAGCCCAGGAGCGCCTTCTGAACACGGCGCGCTCTGGGCCGCGCGCTGGCCGCCTGATCGCCTGTTGAAAACCCGACTCACCAACAACCAAGACGACTGGAGGTATTGGTGCGTCACCTACTTGTACGAGCTGCTCGGCACCGGCCTCTTCCAGCCGTTGTGCGCCACCGACGCGCAACGACGCCGCATCGCCATCGACATGTGCCATCAAGCTTGGGCCACCAGCGGCCCTGGGCGCACCCTCCTGGAGCGCCGCCCGTCCCGCGCAGTGCTCAGGGCGAGTCGCCGCGCAGCCGATCACCATGCAGCCGAACATCGTTGCTCAGCCATGAAGCTGCCCAACGCCGTGCTCGACGCCGCTGGATCGCCCGCGCCCTCCCCTTGCTGGGGCCCGGCGCCGACCCGGGCGACATTCGCCGCGGCGACGACGACATGGGCGCTGAAGACCCGCCTGCCGACGTCGACGCGCAGCATGACCTCATTCATGTCCAGCAAGTTCCTGATGATCCCCCCGCTCGGTGGAGGCGCCTCCGCGCCCTCCTCGCGACGCTGCCGCCTTCCAGGCTGTGGAGCGCTCTGGGGGTCCTCGCGGGCGCGTGGGCGACTTCGCACAGGGTGCCCGACCAAGCGCCTATGCCACTTCGGGTGCCTGCGCGCCGACGACAAAATCCAGCACTATTTCGCATGCGAAAGGATGTGGCACCAGCTGAGCCTCCCACGCGATCAGCTGAGCACCAACATCATGACGAGGATCGGCCTCCCCGACCTGTCCGAGCCATTCCATGGCAAGAACGGCATCCCGAACAGCATCGCCAGACTCTCCGTGGCCACCAGAATCTACCACATGACGAAGGACCTCGACATCCCGATGACGTACAACAAGCAGACGACCGCCGTTGCCGCCGCTCGCCGAGCCCTGAAGCTGCTCGCGGATCTGTCGGGCGGGGCTGGCGTGCCGTAGCGCAGCTCACAGGCGAACACGCTCACTCAGGCGACGTTCGCTCTCCCCCCCCCCCCTTCTCCTCCTCCTCCTCCTCCTCCTCCTCCTCCTCCTCCTCCTCCTCCTCCTCCTCCTCCTCCTCCTCCCCCTCGTCGTCGTCCTCCTCCTCCTCTTTCTCCTCCTCTTCCTCCTCCTCCTCGGGCTTCGTGTACTCCGTCCCCGAGGTTACCTTCCTGACCTCGGGCGCGCGCGTGCGCGGCAGCGCGCCCAGGGCTGCGGGCGCTCGCCCGCCGGGCTGACGCTGGAGGCGGTGCGCGCGCACCCCGAGATGGCAGGCGCCCCCCCGGGGCGTGCGCGCGCGGCCGCAGTGGCGACCTCAGCGTTTTTTTTCCTCCCCACATCCTGAGTGGGGTTCTTGCGTTCCTAGAACGCCTTCTCCTCCTTCTCCTCACCCTCTCCTTCTCCTTTCCTCTCCTCCTCCTCCTCCTCCCCCCCTCCTCCTCCTCCTCCTCCTCTCCTCCTCCTCCTCCTCCTCCTCCTCCTCCCATCGCACACCGTGCCAATGCCATACCAATGCCATGCCATACCGTACCTACCATCACATACCATACCATACCAAACCATACCATACCACACCACACCACACCAACGCCACACCACACCACACCACACCATGCCATACCATACCAATATCCACCAGTCCAGGGGGGCCACGCCAGAGAGGCCACTCCCACCCCCATTCCTCCAGGGAGGCCCCGCCTGAGCGAGGAGGGTATTCGCAAACCATGTTTTGTATCAGGTTTCGTGCCCCTCCCACTCCTCCAGGGAGGCCCCGCCTGAACGAGGGTATTCGCTAACCATGTTATTTATCAGGTTTTGTGCCCTTCCCACTCCTCTTTGGAGGCCCCGCCTGCGCGAGGCGGGTATTCGCTAACCATGTTATTCATCAGGTTTCGTGCCCCTCCCACTCCTCCAGGGACGAACGCGCTTCCTGAACAGCCGTCGTCTTCCTCTCTGCTGCTCCTCCTCCTCCTTGCCTTCTTTTCTTTCGCGCGTACCCTTGCGATGGCCCTTTTCATTCGTATTGCTATTATTTTGCTTCACTGACCCCACGGAGCAGAGACTCAACCAGGATATGACCGATCCTTTCACGATGACCGACGAGGACGGTACGTGGATTCCCCTCCTTCTCACCTCTCTTGCTTTTGTGGAACGCTTCCTCAGAGCCTTGGTCTCGAAAGTGGCTTGATCCAGAAGTATAGTCGACATATAGTAACGGCCGCCGCCTTTGTTTTGATGTTGTTCCTCGGGCCCTCGCCTCGAAAAAGCTTTCCCGCAAACAGACAGAGGCGATCCGAGCTGTTGTTTGTCGGGCGGTATGACGTCTCAACAAGGCTGTGGCGAAAAAGTATTGCATCGACGGTGTGTGCCCTTTATGTATGCAACCTGGGGGCACGGTGCTCCACCGACTTTGGCACCGCCCTAAGTGCGAGGAGCACAGAGCTCGCACTGTGCGGGAGTAGCTGCTGGCCAGGGTTAGATCGGTGTTGACGGCCCCTTCCCCTGGATTTGAACTGCCGTGTGAGACAGGCCTCTTTCAGCACCCAGCCAAGGACGTCCTTCCACCTTTGTCCCAGGACGAGGCCATCCAACCCGTGCAGTTTCAATGCTTCCTTCAGGCTTTCGTTCGAGGAGAATCTCTATCCGTCTGACCCAGGGGTGAGGTCGCTTTCGGGGCGATTGTACGGCGACGGTTCGTGCTTTAGGTCGGCTGTTAAGGACCTTTCTCGGTCTGGCTGGGGAGTCGTGTGGCTCAGTGATCAGGGGAGAATTTTAGCGAGGTTATTTGGCCCGTTTGGGGGATTCTACCCTCAGGCCAGCATTGCCGCAGGATTTGCAGCCCCAGCGAGTAGAGCTTCCTTTGTTGATGGCGGGGCTGAGTTTTGCTCGGGCTGCCAAGTTGTCATGGATGAGTTTTCCAAAAACGCTCGGGACCGTGTGCATCCGAATCGGCCTTACAGTGGCCTGGTGATGCAGGCGGACGCGTTCGCCCAGGGCTTTCTCCGTGGTGTCTCCAAGGTTCGGGCCCACCAGGAAGACGACGAGCCCCCCCCGATGGCCGATCGTCTTCGCATTCTTGGGAACAACGCTGCAGATGCAGCTGCTAATGAGGATGCTTTGATGTACCCCAGGATGTCCGATGCTGAGTCGTCTGGCATTGTTTTTTTATGCTCGGTTGCTCGTGCGGTCACAAAGCTGGCCGCTCAGATAATGGAGAGATGGCCTCGGATGAATCACGAGGGTGTGTCCCGTGTCGGTCCCTTGCGCCCTAAGGTGAGGGACCCGAGGCCGCCGCACGAATGGAGTTGGGTCGGGCGCTTCTGGCAGTGTCTTCACTGCCTTCGAGGTTCCCGATCCGAGGCGAAACCAGGTCCTGGATTTTGCAATCGCCTCTTGCGTGCCGACCCCGCCAAGTTGCGGGAGCTCGAGCACTGATGCCTCGTGGTGGATTTCAGCGGCAACAGTTTCGCTTGAGTCTGCCAGGCTTGTGGGGCACGCACGACTGGAGGGCAGATGCGACGGTTCGCCAAGAAGTGCGACGGCAGTCCGCCTGCTCGCAGTCAAGTTTGGTCGAGCTTGTGCAAAGGACTCCACCCCGCTCATAAGCGGGTCGGGATCACTGCCGAACTCGTGACTGTTTGACCCTTGTGAGGGGGGTCTGTGGATGTGGATGTCAAATAACAAATCTTTCCCCTCTTCCTCTTCCTCTTCCTCCTCCATTCCTTCTCCTTCTAGATAACTCCTCCCTGCCGCCTTCCGGGGCAAATTTTTAGGGCGGGCCGGGCGTTTCGCCTGCGACTTCTTCACCATGTATGATTGAAGCTTAAACAGTGGCAGTGCTTTCACAGATGGAGGGCGGGTCGTTTTCAAAATGTCGCTCTCGCCTTAGCGCCGCGTGCATTTATTTTCAAAGTTTGCAAGAGTTTTACGGATTGAGGGCGGGTCGTTTTCAAAATGTGGCTCTCGCTTTAGCGCCGTGCACATTCGTTTTAAACTTTTGTAAGAGATTAACGGATTCAGGACTGGTCGTTTTCAAAATGTGGCTCTCGCCTTAGCGCCGCGCGCATTCGTTTTCACAATTGCAAGAGTTCCACGGGTTCAGGGCGGATCGTCTTCAAAATGTGGCTCTCGCCTTAGCGCCGCGCACATTCGTTTGCAAACGTTGCAAGAGCTTCACGGGTTGAGGGCGGTTCTTTTTCAAAACGTGGTTTTCGCCTTAGCGCCGCGCACATTCTTTGTAACACGTTGTAAGGGTTTCACGGGTTGAGGGCGGTTTCCTTTCAAAATGTGGTTTTCACCTTAGCGCCGCGCACATTCTTCGTAAAACATTGCAATCGTTTCATTGGTTCCCATGCTCAACGTACCAAAGAATGTGTTGTGGAAGGATCCAGGATTATGCGGGTGCAACGGTTATGCTGATTCGCGGTGTTGCAATCCAAAACATGGCATTATGGCACGATTCCAGATCGCCAGAACGCAGCCGTCAGCTTGATACGTGGCGTTGAAATCCCGAGAACAATGTTTTGGCATGCTTCAGAATCTTCAAACGGTTGTTTTCCAACGATGCAGTTCCCTCAATGGAAATGAACCGTTGTAGGGGCCTATGACTCTTGGGTTTACACTGGTCCTCCTCCTCCTCCTCCCCCTCCTCCTCTTCCTCCTTCTCCTCCTCCTCCTTCTTTTCCTTCTCCTCCTCCCTTGCAGGGCTCCAGGAGCGTCAGAAAACAACTCTGGATGAGAGGCTGGTCCCCAAGGTGTCCAGACCTCTTCGGGAGCCACGTTGCGACACAAATCACGGGGTCGGATGTCTGCGTCGTCGTTCCTCCTCCTCCTCCTCCTCCTCCTCCTCCTCCTTCTCCTTCTCCTCCTGGGACCGCTGGAAGTCGATCTTGGGTGAAAGCTGCCCAGGATGGGCACTGGGAGGGGTCCGGGGTATGTCGTTTTCACTAGATGTCAGTCGAGTTTCGATCCGATCGATCCGGTTCGATATCGATTTCGGATGTAACGGTCCGATTCGGTTCCCATAATGTGACGATCAAATGTGGCCCGATGCTCGCATGGCGCTGTTGAGCATCCTGGCGCGGCCGATCCGACTCGATCTCGACTCCGTGCCGACGCGACCCGATGCGACGCGCATCCCGACTCGATCCGCTCTCCCGGTTCGATGCTGGCTGATGCTGCTCGAGGCGAGGCTGGGCGCGCGGTGGCGCGAGGGTGCTGCAGGTTCGCGGCGTGTGGACGCGGCGGCGCCCTCGCCGCGGGCGCTCCAGGTGGAGCGCCTCCGGTGGTCCAGAGTCGGCCAGCGTGGAATCGTCGATCCGGCGATCGAGAAGTCGCCGACCGTGCAGGGCTGAGCGCTCCGCGCGGTGTCAGAAGCCAACGCCGAGGTCGTCACGACGCGCGCCTCGCGCGTCGCGGTCTGGGCCAGAGCGGCCGACCTTTCTCCCGGGGGGGGCGGCGCGAGGCGGTGCGAGGACACAGAGGGCGCGAAGAGGATCGCGCGACGCGCCTCGGCGCGAGGGCGCGAACTTGGGCGACCCGGGAAACTGCCCAGGTTGGACACTGGGCGGGGTGCGGCCCTACAGTCGGCTCTGATTGGTAGGTCGACCCTGCCAGATCGAGGGCACCCTTGCGTCCTGTTTTTCGCGACCACTACCTTCTGCATTTCTATGGCGAGGTGGCCCTCGGAAGGGTCTCGTGTCCTCTCGCGTGTCCTCTCCAATCCGGTCCGACTGTACGCCCTTCCCCTAGGCCTGCCCGAGGCCTCCCCTCTGGCCCCTCCCCTGAGGCCCGCCCTGGCCCGTACCCCCGGCCCCTTCTCCTGGGCCTGCATCCCAGGGCCTCCCCCAGGCCTTTCTCTTGGGCCCACCCCTGGGCCTGCCCCAGCCCTTCCCCCAGGCCTCTCCCCCAGGCCTACTCCCGGACCCTTCCCCTGGGCCGTTCATTCCGAGCAGATTCTGGTCGAGGCGGAGTTTGGCGCCCCCCGCCACCGGCCACTGGCCCTGCGGCGGGCCGGCGCCGCAGACGCTGGGCGCCTCGGGAAAAGGTCGTGGGCCTCATGTCGCAAGGGTCTCAGGATCCTCGATCCTCGCCGTCGCCGCCGCCGTCGCCGTCGTCGTGTCGTCGCCGCCGTCGCCGTCGCCGTCGCCATCGCCATTGCCATCGCCGTCGCCGTGGCCGCCGTCTTCGCCGCCGCCGCCGCCGTGGTCGCCGTCGCCGTCTCCTTCGCCGCCGTCGCCGCCGCCGTGGTCGTCGTCGCCGTCGCCGTCGCCGTCGCCATCGAAATCGCCATCGCCGTCGCCGTGGCCGCCGTCTTCGCCGCCGCCGCCGCCGCCGCCGTGGTCGCCGTCGCCGTCGCCGTCGCCGCCGTCGCCGCCGCCGTGGTCGTCGTCGCCGTCGCCGCCGCCGTGGTCGTCGTCGTGGTCCCAGCGCGTGCTGACAGCACGCGGCCCCTGTGGGCGGGAGGCCGGTCGGAGCTGCCGCCGCTGAGCGCCCTGTGCGTGACCGTGCCAGGCGCGGCCTGGCGGGGTCCCAGCGCGCCCAGACGTCCTCGCGTCATCCTCCTCCCCCTTCTCCTCCTCCTCCTCCCTCCTCCTCTCCTCCTCCTCCTCCTCCTCCTCCTCCTCCTCTCCCTCCTCGTCCTCCTCTCCTCCTCTCCTCCTCCGCCTCCTCCTCCTCCTCCTCCTTTCTCCTCCTCCTCCTCCTGCTCCTCCTCCCCCTCCCCCCCTCCCCCCCCTCCCCCTCCCCCTCCCCCTCCTCCTCCCCCTCGAAAAATCAGGGCGGAAGGTTTGTGACCGTCTACCCACAAGTTCCCTCCCAACCTCAGCTGCGCTGATGCGCCCGTTTTGAAGCGCAACGCGTGCCGTGTGTCAAAGCGTCCGTGGTAGCACGCTGCGTGTTGGCTCGGCGTGTCAGCCCACGTTTTAGCGAACGTGTCGCGCCGGGCCTACACTTTCAACCTACGTGTTGAGCTCCGTGTCGACACGCCACGGGTTGCGTGCTGCGTATTGGGGCAGCTTCAGTCGACCCGCATAGTAAGGGTACCCTTGCATCCTTGCCCCTTCGGCCCTTCCTTAGCGACTTTCGCTGGCCAACCTCGCTCGAAAAGCGTTCACATGGGCCTCCGAGGCCCTTGCATCCTTGCCGGTCATCCTCATGATACGCGTTGGCTGTGCTTGAGTGGATCAGGGACCTCTTGGACGCATAGCCTCCTCCTCTTCCTCCTCTTCCTCCTCCTCCTCCTCCTCCTCCTCCTCCTCCTCCTCCTCCTCCTCCTCCTCCTCCTCCTCCTCCCCCCTTCTCCTCGTCCTCCTCCTCCTCCTCCTCCTCCTCCTCCTCCTCTTCCTCCTCCTCCTCCTCCTCCTCCTCCCCCCCCTCCTCCCCCACCCTGCCAAGTCGATCGGCGAGGTGCCCTCTTCCGGTTCTTCCTGGGTGCTGCGGGCCGCCGTTTTTGCGGGCCTGCGCCCGCTGGGTCTGGTCCCAGGTGGGGGGCGGGATACATCTCTGGCCAGAGTGAGGGGCCAGTGAGCCGAATTTGCGCTACGAAAAAGTATACACTCAGACACCGTTCATTGGATTGTTCCTGGGCCTCAGGGGAGGGCGGCGGCGTATAAATCGCCACTGAGAGAGCCAGCGACTTTGTGCACCGACGCCCTCCCTTTGTGTATACATATATATGTATATATATATATGTATACCTATACGACCACCCTTCGGGTGGTAAGGAGGTTCGGAGGGGAGGAACCAACGTCTCACTCGATCGGTCTCACTATCGATCTCACTATCGATCTCACTATCGGTCTCGCTCGATCGATCTCACTCGATCGATCTCACAATCGATCTCACTCGATCTATTTCATTCGATCGATCCCACAATTGATCTGACTATCGATCTCAATCGATCTCTCTATCGATCTCGCTATCGATCTCACAATCGATCTCACATTCGGTCTCACTATCGATCTCACTATCGGTATCACGATCGATCCCACAATCAACGTCATCATCATCACCATCATCGTCATCAAGGTCATCAACATCATCATCATCATCATCATCAGCATCATCGGGACACCATCATCATCATCACCTCATCACCATCACCATCAACATCATCACCATCATCACCATCATCATCCTCATCATCATCGGGACACCATCATCGTCACCATCATCATCATCATCATCATCATCAACATCATCATCATCGGGGCACCATCATCATCACCAGAACACCACCATCATCATCACCATCATCGCACCGTCATCATCAGGAATAACATCATCAACATCATCATCATCATTTGGACACCAACATCATCAGCAGCATCATCATCATCATCAGCATCATCATCATTATCATCATCATCATCATCGGGTCACCATCATCATCGGGACACCATCATCATCATCATTACCATCATCAGCATCATCATCATCGGGACACCATCATCATGAACATCAGCATCAACATCACCACCATCATCTGGTCACCATCATCAAAGTCACCACCATCACCTCATCATCGTCGTCATCATCAACAACATCATCATCATCGGGACACTATCATCGTCATCAGCATCATCAGCATCATCATCATTGGGCACCATCGTCATCAACACCATCATCATCATCACCAAGAGCATCATCATCAACCTCATCATCACCATCATCATCGGGACACCATCATCATCAGCATCAGCCGCATCACCATCATCATCATCAGCATCATCATTATCATCATCATGATAACAGCTTTAGTGTGGAGTGTGCTGGGACAGGGTTTCAGTGGCCGCACTTCTGTAATTGTTTGTGCTCAAGCTCTTGAGGGGCAGGCGAGCCGCCGCCACGCGTTTCCCTTCGGATCCCTCGCGCGGCGCCTCGCTGGCCTTGGTGGTGTGGTCGGCTACGCCCTCATCGTCGCCCGCGGGCCCTGCCTGTCCGTGCCAGTGCTCCCCGACGTGCAGCGTCGTTTGCCCAGACATCGACTGGCCCCACTCGCCGCAGGTCTTGACGGGCTGGTGCAATCACACCGTGTTCTCCTGCCTCGGGTTGCTGGTGGGCGTCTTCGGGGTGCGCGCGATCTGGAGCTGGAGTTCGCAGGTGGCGGGTGTGAGAGCCTCCGTCCTCTTGGAGGCTGTCAGTGCGGAGACGGAGGGCTGGGCGCAGTCGTTCGTGCAGTTTCGCCCGTTTGTTTTCGCAGCAGCTGGGGACCGTCATTCAGAATGCCACGACCAGGTGATGCGCACGCCTGTCGATATCGTGTGGGAGGACTTGCAGTATATCATGAGCCGATCACGTCGCTGGACTGCCGCGTGCACCCGATGGGGCGCGGCTCAGCTGGGCGGCGGGCGCTGGTCTTCGTCACGGCGGCCCTGCTAGCCCCCTCCTCGCCGCAGGCGGACGGGCCAATCGGAGGTCCGCGGGCGACGCAGGGGGGCCTCGGCCACATGAGGTGCGACGCGGGCGGCCCGCTGGTGTGGCACTCAAGGTGGAAGGCGGAGGCGTGGTTGCACGACTCGGACTGGATCTGCCAGCAGCATGAGATGAATCGCAGGCGGGCTGAGCTTGGCAGTTGCTACGACCACGTGACCTGCGCGGAGTTTGCGTCGCTCGAGCCGATCTGCCGCCAGATCCAGCTCATCGAGGAGCTGCGCTACGAGGACACCGTCACCGCGCAGGTGGGCGCGTGGGACACGACAGGGGGGAAGGACAAGAGCGCCGAAGCCGCCAGCGAGAACTTGCTGGCGATGGAGGCGGACCACTACATGGGGGGTTCGGCGAGCATGGGCAACCGGGCAACCTGTGCGTCGCAGCAGCCTTCGCGGACTTCAATTTCGGCCAGTTGGAGGCGAAGGCCACCGTTGCCAAGCAGAGGCGCTTAGCCCGCGGGGAGCGGGCGGCGTGCTCATGGCACTTCGAGAGCTTCTCCCAGGAGGGTGCAGGCGCTTCGGTGCCACCTGGGCGAGTCCTGCGTTTTCGTGGGGGCCGCGCTTCCACCAGTGTTTTCACGATGGACCCTGGAGTTCGCCAGCGTGATGTGCTCCCCCTACCTGCTCTGGCGGTGGGCGCCCGCGCGGAAGCCTGCCGCGGCCGTCGGGGGCGCCAGCGCGCCCAGCGCGGTGCTGCTTGGCGGAGATGGGCTATTGACAGCATCGCAGCCCTGAACCAGTGGAGCGGCCACCTTTCACCTGCGTCTACGCCGCCTGGGTTAACAGCCTCGACGGCGCAGGGGGGCGCGATGGATCACATCTCTCGGGCCTGCCAACATTTTCCGCTTCCTCCTGACTGTCGCGAGGGTGCTCATTCGGGCGAAGCAGCCTTGACAGAGCTGCTCGCGTCGGCGCCGGGGTATTCCTCTGATTCCCAGCGCGTCAAGCCCTGCGACAAGGACCTGGTGTCCTGGCCTGATCTTTCGACGGCTCCAGTTGATGTCGCTGATCTCGTCGGGGAGGCCGAGCGCGAATGTTTGTCGGGATGGAGACGGACCATGCTCAAGAGTGGGTCGTCTGCTTCAGATCTGAGTGCGGCTTCGGTGCCGCAGCGTCCTCGCGTCGACCCGATTTTGGGCAACAGCCCCAGGGCCTACGCCGGCTTCGTGGGGGAGTTGCTGCAGGGTGGTAGGATCCCTTTCCGTGTGGCGCGGGTTGGTGATCCTTATAGCTTGGGCTTTTTCTTTGTCGAGAAGGTTGGCAAGGGCGCGCTTCGCCTCGTCTTCGACACGAGGGTGGCGAACGAGGGTTTCGCGGCCCCGCCCAAGACCGCGCTCCCCACGGCGGCGGCGCGGGCCGCCCTGGAGTCGGACTACCCCGCGGTGCTGGCCCAGGGCGACATCCAGTGCGCGTTTTACCACATGCTTGTGCCGAAGGGCATGGAGGAGCTGTTTACGTTGCCCATTATCTCCAATCGTTTGCTCAATGTCAAGCAGATCGACGGCCCCCCCATCCCTCCTGATTGTTTCCTCCAGCCGATGGTGCGAGTCTTGCCGATGGGCTGGAGCTGGTCGCTGCTGTTCTGCCAGAGCATCATGAGGGGGGCGCTCGTGCATTTCGGGTTCGGCGACGGTGACCCCGTCGAGGATGGCCGCCCGAGCCCCGTCCTCTCTTCGAAGGACAGCGTGGCAGCCGCGGGCTACGTCGACAACTTCGCCATCGTGGGGGGCGACCCCGTTGCTGTTACTTCCGAGAGGGATGAGGTGACCCGCGCGCTGGAGGCTTGGGGGCTACCTGTGCACTCGCTCGACACCGCCTCGGCCGTATCCGTGTTCACGGGTCTCGAGATCAATGGCGAGCTTGGGGCCGTGAGGGTGAAGCCTGCGAGCGTCGTGCGCCTTCGGCAGGCGCTGCTGGCGGTTTTGCGGCGAGGCGCCGCCTCGCCTCGCATGCTCGAAGTCCTTCTGGGTCACATCGCGTGGACGATGATCTGCAAAAGAGAGACCCTCTGCATCCTGTCGTCTGTATACGCTTTTAAGTCCCAGAAAGACCCTGGAGTCAGGCCCCTGTGGGCCTCCGCCAAGTTCGAGCTCTGGTGTGTGGCTAGTATTTTACCGTTGTGGACTTCGCACATGAATATCCCCTGGGGCTCCCACGTCCCGGCTTCGGACGCCTCGCCTATCGGTGTGGGCGTGTGTACTCGCAGGGAGGTCGGGCCTCGAGTGGCCGACATTGGGAGGCAGGCGGAAAGGTGGAGGTATCGTTGTACTGCGGCGGTTTCGGCACGATCGAGCGCGCTGGGCCTCGGAGGGCCCCCCGACGACTTCGACGTCATCGAGGGGCTCTTGGACTCGAACCCTGAGGGCTTCTGCAAGGGCTTCCACGAGATCCCCGAGGAGCTCATGCAGGTCTCGTCGTGGGCCACCGTGATCTCCAGGAGGCATTGGAACCCGTCCAAGAACATCCTAGATCGCGAAGGTGACGCTCTGCGCGACGCAGTTCGGCACGCCACTCGCAACATTTCGCTCCATCACCATCGCCTTCTGTTTCTCGTAGATAATTTACCTTTGGCTCTGGCGGCGGGCAAGGGTCGAGGCCGCAAGCCTACCCATTCGGCGGCCATGTCGGAGGATCGCCGCGCTCTCGCTGGCTACCAACCTTCGGTGCTATGTGCGGTGGATACCCTCGGCGCTGAACGTGGCGGACGGGCCATCTCGCCATGGCTTCATCCGCGGCAGAAGTTACAAGGAGGCGCGCTCCTCCTCGGCAGATCTCTCCCGCCCAGAAGTTGACGGCTGTTCCGATCGTGGCGGCGCAGGCGGCGGCTCGCCCTCGGGTCGAGGAGTGGTGCGGGGGGCCCTCAGCTTCTTCGAGAACGCCGCGTTGTCGGACCCCGCTCGGGCTCGGTGCCGCTGCCGCGCCCTGCGCGCCCTGGGCTGGTTGGGCTGGCACGTGCTGAACTTCTCCACCGCCAGCCAGCTGGACAGCATCCTCGTGTGCTGCCTGACGGACTTATCCCTGGACGGCTTCGTCACAGCGACTGGGAGGATGACGGTCGCGGCGATGCGCCACCTCCTGCCGCTCATCCCAGTCGGGAAGCGGCCACCCCCGCGGTCGGTGCGAGCCCTCGATGGTGGGCGTTGCCTGATGCCGCCACAGTTGCGCCTGGTTCCTCCTCGCTTGGTCGCGGCTGCAGTCGCAGGCTGGCTGATTTGGAGGAACCTGCCCAGCCTGGCGGTCATCGTGGCGCTGGTCTGCCACGCATACTTCAGGCCGTCGGAAGCCTACAGGCTGCGCGTGGGCTCGCTGGTGCCGCCGATCTCAGGGTCGGGCGTCAACCCGTGGGGCATCGTCGGGGGCGAAGCGAAGTCGGGCCGCCGTGGCGTGGCTGGGGTGGTGGACGAGTCGGTGCTGGGCGACGTTCCCGAGCTCTGGCCCGTGCTGCACGCGCCGGTGCCCAGCGCGTTTGCGGACGCCAGCCTCTGGGACTTCAGGCCCGCCGTGGTGCGCGCGATGTTCCGCCAGGCCTTGCGCGAGCTGGGGCTGCAGTAGGAGTCTCCGTCGGTGTGCACCCTTCGTCGTGGGGGGAATTCGCGCGACTTGCTCTCGGGTGCTCGTGCGATAGCGAGGCTCAAGGAGACGTGGAGATGGACATCAGACACATCTTGGATGAGGTACGGCAAGAGGGCTGGCATGCAGCAGCGGATCAGGGACTTCCCGCCTCAGATCGTCGAGTTCGGCGTGCTGGGTTTCGCGGGGCTCTCGGTGCTGATCGTGATCAAGCTCGTGAAGGGCTGCTTCCCGTTGCCAGCGTCGCTCCAGTCGGCGCCCGCCCTGCCGTGGGTCGAGAAGCGGGCGCCCTTTCTGTCCAGAAAGTAGGTTCGCGCATGTGTGCTGCCTTCCGACGTGCCTTCGTGTGGGCGCCCCGTCGCCGTCGGCTCGTTTTGCCAGTGGTTGGGCCCCGCGGGGCCCCCATTTGCAAAGCGCTGCGCCGTCGCGGTTTGGGTTGTCCCTCGCTTGGTGCAGGTCGAAATGTGGGCCTTGCGCTGTGCGAGCAGGGCGTCGTCGATCGACTCCTGGGGTGGATTCGTTCGTCGGCGGTCTGTGCTTGCTGGCTTTCTTTGCCACGCGGGTCTTGGATCGAGTCTGGGTCCCCGCCTGTCCGCGCAGTGTCTGGCCCGTGGGTTCGGGCCGCGCCTGCTGGCCTGCGGTTGCATCTCCCGTCTTTTGTAACGGACAATGTCGAGATGCGCGCAGCCCTCAGAGTCATTTGTGATTGTGTCGGCTTGTGTGTACCTGTCTGTCTTGAGCACCCGCGCTCCAGCCTTTTCGTTTAGTAGACCTGGGCCTCTGCCAACTCGGAGCGGCCACCCGTTCGGCCGCACGAATGTTTTGCTGGCGCTGTCCTCAGCTCCAGCGCCTGAACGCTCGTTGCAGTCTGCGTGGCAAGGTGTGCTCGGGATCGGGGCGGCCTCATTTACAATTCGACGGTCGAACGGCCAGGGGCGTGGCGTGCCGCTACAAAGCTGCACGGTTCCCCGTCCGAGCTGCAGAATTGGTGGCCGACTTCCTCGTCGAGGCTATAGAAGACCTGTCCCGGTCCAGGATGTATGATCTCTGCGGCCTCCGGCCATGATGTAGTGTTACACAGTGTCCGTCTGTGCTTCCTGCAGTGGCCATCGCCACTCGTGTCGTGAGGCATCGCGTCTTGCCATCGCCACCATCAGCTTTTCTAAAAAGGAACGCTATGGCCACGTCGACCCTCCTCGGCATGAGAACAACTTTCGTGTGGAGTGTGCTGGGACAGGGTTTCAGTGGCCGCACTTCTGTAATTTTTTGTGCTCAAGCTCCCAACCCACCCGCCGTCGCTTGAGGGTTTGATTTCGGAGTTCGACGTCTGTGCCGTCTGTGCTGCCTGCAGTGGCCATCGCCACTCGTGTCGTGAGGCATCGTGTCTTGCCATCGCCACCGTCAGCTTTTCTGAAAAGGAGCGCTATGGCCACGGCGACCCTCCTCGGCATCATCATCATCATCATCATCATCACCATCATCATCATCATCGTCATCATTATCATCATCGTCAGCTTCTCCTCGCCCGCACGCACGGCACGCACGAACACGAAACCGACATCGATTTCCTGGTACGGAGGTTCTCCGTTTCACTTCGATCTCACCCCCCAACCTCGGATATATGTATATATATACATGTATATATATATATATATATATATGTGTATACATATGTTATATATAGCACCCCGCAATTGCGGATAAGAGTGAGGGGGCGGGCGCGGGCGACGCGGGCGTCGTCAAGCCGGCGGACCTCGTGGCCCCCACCTTCCTTGTCGATGGCGCTCTCCTCCTCCTCCTCCTCCTCCTCCTCCTCCTCCTCCTCCTCCTCCTCTCCTCCTCCTCCTCCGCCTCCTACTCCTCCTCCTCTTCCTCGTCCTCGTCCTCGTTCTCATCGTCATCGTCGTCCTCCTCCTCCACCTCGTCCTCCTCCTCCTCCGCTTCTTCCTCGTCCTCCCTCTCCCCCCCTCGTCCTTCCATCATCGTCCTCCCATTGTCGTCATGTTCCTCCTCGTCGTCCTCCTCCTCTTCCCCCCCTCCCGATCCTCCACCCTCCTCCTTTCGTCGTCGTCGTCGTCGACGTCATCGTCGTCGTCCCCTCCCTCCTCCTCCTCCTCCTCCTCCTCCTGCTGCTCCTCCTCCTCCTCCTGCTGCTCCTCCTCCTCCTCCTCCTCCTCCTCCTCCTCCTCCTCCTCCCCCTCCTCGTCCTCCTGCAAAAGCAGCCCGCCGCAGGCGCCGAAAAAATTGGTTTGTACACTGAACGTGGTTTGGGTCGCGGGTGGGCCGCGGGTTCTCCACCGGGAACGAATGCAAAAGATGCTCGCCGCAGGCGCCGAAAAAATTGGTTTGTACCCTGAACGTGGTCGCGGGTGGGCCGCGGTCTCTCCACCTAGAACGATTCAAAAGATGCCCGCCGCAGGCGCCGAAAAATGTGGTTTGTACCCTGAACGTGGTTTGGGTCGCGGGTTGGTCGCGAGTTGATCGCGGGGTGGGTCGCGGGCTCTCCACCTGGAAGGAATGCAAAAAAAGCCCGCCGCAGGCGCCGAAAATGTTGGTTTGTACCTTGAACGTGGTTTGGGTCGAAGGTGGGTCGCGGGTGGGTCGCGGGGTGAGTCGCGGGTGGGTCGCGGGTGGGTCGCGGGTGGGTCGCGGGCGGGTCGCGGGTGGGTCGCGGGGTGGGCCGCGGGCGGGTCGCGGGGTGGGTCGCGGGTGGGTCGCGGGGTGGGCCGCGTGGGTGTGGGTCGCGGGTGGGTCGCGGGTGGGTCGCAGGGTGGGTCGCAGGGTGGGTCGCGGGGTGGGTCGCGGGGTGGGTCGCGGGGTGGGTCGCGGGTGGGTCGCGCGGGTGGGTCGCGGGTGGGTCGCGGGGTGGGTCGCGGGTGGGTCGCGGGGCGGGTTGCAGGTGGGACGACGACAACAAACAACAACAACAACAGACAACAACAACAACAACAACACGAATCCGCACCGCGGAATCTCACTTCAGCCACGCACCCAGGGACAATGAATGACCGTTCGGCCCCCTCACTCTGATGTATGTATGTATATATGTATGTATGGATGGATGGATGGACGGATGGATGGATGTATGTATGTATGTATGTGTGTGTATGTATGTATGTATGTATGTATGTATGTATATACATACATATATTTATGTATATATATATATATACATATATATATATATATACTGGGGAGGGGCCACTGGGCAACAGGGAACCCTGATTTCAGTACCTGGCCTCTGGCCCCTTCCTTGGGCGGCTGTCGGCCCTCTCAGTTACGTGTGGCAGGCTTTCAAAATGCTCCCAGGTGGCCCGGGGTCGCTGAACTGATTATTCGTTCCAAGAAACCCAAAGACGGCTTCAAGACGGCCCAGTAGGCCCCCAAGACACCCCAAGAGGATTCCCAAGAGGGCCTCAAGCGGCAAAAATGGCCCCATTCCTTTCGGAAAACGTGAATTGTTTGAGTATTCGTCTCTAGAGCTTTCAGAACACCCAAGACGGCCTGCAAGGCCTCCGAGATCGCCTCAAGTAGGCCCGAGGCTCCCTACAGGTCTCCAAGACGGCTCAAGAGAGCCCCAAGAAGGCCCCAAAGGCCGCCAAAACAGCCAATGAATGCCCCAGGACGGCCCCAAGAGGGGGCCCAAAGGGGGTACCCGAACAGATATTTCAAGTCTTCGGCCCCAAAACGCCCCCACGAGGCTCAGGAAGCTCCCCAAACAGCTCCCAAGAGGCCCCGAATAGGCTCCCAGGAAACCCCAACAGGCCCCCAAGAGGCCCCCACGAGTCCCCTGCCCAGACGCCCTGAGGCACTCATGGCGATTCCGAAGCTTTCAGAGAGGATAGGCGATGAACGGCCGTCCTGACGCGATCTTGGACCGTCTTCGAGTTCAAGGTGCCCCCATCATGGCCCAACAGGTCCCAGAAACGCCCGAAGAGAGCCCCCCTGGGGTTTCAAAGAGACCCTCCAGAAGCAACTGCACGTGTATATTTTCAGGGAAGCTCTAGGCCCCTGGGCGCCAGAGGGCATTGACCCGCTTGTGCAGAGCTGCCTCTGCCCTCCCTGTGGGCTCCCCGGGCGGCCTTCGGAGCTCCGCGACGGTCCCAGGGCGTCCCGCGACCAGACATGACAGCCTCCAGACTGCAGACTGCCCAGGACACCTCCAGGACGCGCTTCGAGGGCCCCATGAGCGTTCCCAGACAGCCCAGGACGCCCCAAGAGGCCCCCTGAGACCCCAGACCCCGGGCCGGCACACTTTTCAGAACTCCCCCTCCCCCGTACCATTTTTTTGTCCGGGTGGGGTCCCAACTCTTTTCGGTCTTTCTCGGCTGTCGTTCCCGGTCGCTCGCCCTCGTCCTTCCCCGGCACCTGGTTCTTCCTGGTCCCCGGGAGTCGTCCCCTCCTTTGCCCCGTGCTGTTGTTGCTCTCCCGGGTCGTCCACCTGGGGGCCTCCTGGCGAGAAGGGCTTGCACGAACAGATTTTTAGAGACCACCTGCCCGTGGAACTGGCGACGCCGGGTGGCTTCATAGTTTCACAGCGCCTGGCGGCGGTAGCGTCGGCGCTTACTTTTCCTGCCCATGCACCTCTCTCTTCGGGGCAGGAGCCCGCTGTTGGGGGCCGCCAAACAGGTCCCAGGCCGATCAGACAGCCGTCCCGACGGACCAAGATTGCCCCGAGCTGCCCTGAAGACGGCTTCCAGAGGTTCCAGACGGCCCAAGAAGGTTCAAACAGCACCCCGACGAGTTATTTAGATATTTTCCTTGAGTTTTTGAGGGATTTCGGGCTTCCAACGCTCCCAGACGGGTCAAGAGGTTCCCCAGACCGCCGTCAAGGCGGCTCTAGAGGGGAGGCGTCCACGACGATCCAAGACCAATCCAAGAGGACCCGCAAGAGTGCTCCATCCCCTCAGGAAAACTGGCACTTTTTTAGTAGATTCGCTTCTGTAAAGTTTTAACACAGTCAAAGACAACCCCAGAGGTCTCCAAAAACGCCCACAGACTGCCCATGAGGCTCTCAAGAGTGCCCCTAGACAGCCCAAGAGGGCCCCAAGATGGACCAAGAAACCCCGAAGACGGCCCAAGAGGGCCCCAGGATGGAGGGGTAATACGAGCTGCTATTTGGAACCCTCTACCCAAAAATGACCCCCGAGGCCGCCTATAGGTGCCCAACAGGGCAGGCCGAAAGAGGCCCCTGGGAGGCCCAAAAGAAAACACAAAGAGGCCCCCAAGAGACCCCAGGAGGACTTTGGGAAGCCTCCAGGAGATTCGCGTGAGGAGACAACACGAAAACGGTCCGGGCACGTCCCAGCAGGACCCGAGACGGCTCAAGAGAGTTCCTGTTTCTTCCGTATGTCTTTCTGCCTCCTGTCTGTCTTTCCTCGTCCCGCCTGCACGTGCTCCGCCAGCCGGCGTGACAGCGCGTGCGTGCCGTTTCAAGGCGGCTTTCTCTGCCTGCTCCGTTACCACTCCTTCGTCCTGCACGTGCTCCGCCAGCTGGCGTGTCAGCGCGTGCATTTCATAGCACGGCTGTGTTCCTCCTTCGTCCGTCTTTCTTCGATCTTCCTGCAAGTGCTCCGCCACCCGGCGTGACAGCGCGTGCATTATGTGTTAAGGCAGTTTGCTCTCCGTCCTCTGGCATTACTCGTTTCTTCTGTACGTGCTCCGCCAGCTGGCGTGGCAGCGCGTGCATTCTATTTCAGGGCAGTTTTCGTCCCGTTCTCCGTCATTCCTCGTCCCTCCCGCACATGTTCGGCAAGACAAGCCAAGAACATGTGACTACATCCAAAGACCAGCAAACTACGTCCTCGACATTTCATCATAAAGCCAGTCAATGCCCCAAACCTGTTCAGCGATCTCCTCGACGAACCCACAAGCCAAGACCTGCGCGTCGTGACAACGAAGAGGCAACCCTGGACGGCGCCATCGGTGCCACAAACACCTGCCCCTCCACAAGAGCGCCTGAAAAATCCAAGAGCCAGTCCAGGGTATCCCTGCGACATCCCATAACCGGCCCACGACGGACACAACTCTTCTCCCATTGCGAGTCGCCTGGAAACCCCGACCTCCGTTTCACCACAGCGCCATGGGCTGGACTAGAACCTAAGCGCGCGAAGCGCGCGCGTGGTTCTAGTATAGATGTATATATATATATATATATGTATTCGTGGCGTAGGCTTGGCCCAACGGGAACCCAAGAGTTTGTGCTAGATCTTGCCGAGCTGAGGTGAGCGTGGCTTGGCGGACGTGGGCGGCTCAGGATGCACAGCCAGTCCCTTGGGAGGGGTCCAGGGCTTCTGGGGGACAATGTTGCGAACAAAACCGCGGCGTCGGGTGTCTCGGGGGGTGGGTGGGGCAGCGTGCCCAGAGCTCGAACATAACCAGCTTACTCTAGGTCGTCTGCGACTCTCCAGGGGGGGTGTCTTCGGGCTGTCAGGGCCGTCCAGAGACGATCTGGGACGGGGAGCTGGTGCTTCGGAAGGGGTAGAGAGGTTCGGGGCCGTGGGGCTCGAAATCATCGAGTCATTGGAGGTCTGGGGGTGTGGCGTGTGGGCGTTGTTGTCGTCATCGTCCACCGCCAGAATGCAGGCAAGACCTGGGCATAATGACCGCTGGGGTTTCGGAAGGGGCTCGGGGTCCCTCAGGTCCGCGCTTCGCTTTCTCTGTCCGCGCTTCCTCGTACGCCTAGGCGCATCTGGGGCTAAGAAAGGGCCTCGTTCTTTATTTGAGGTTTCTGTTGTCAATTGCTCGGCAGTGTGTCTGCATATCCGTATCCGCCGCCGCGGTGTCGTGCCCTGGGATCTCGACATGTCGACATGCCGACTCCCGATGAGTCGTGGATGTGGACAGTTGTCCGCCCCCGAGCGCGGGAGAGCATCCACACCCACCGTTCCCCAGGGAGCCAAGGCAGGACACGAGCAGCTGGGGAGGTGGGTGTTACCTGTCGTCGTCGTCGTCGTCGTCGTCGTCGTCGTCGTCAGTCGTCGTCGTCGTCGTCGTCGTCGTCGTCGTCGTGGTCGTGGTCGTCGTGGTCGTGGTCGTCGTGGTCGTCGTGGTCGTCGTGGTCGGCGTGGTCGGCGTGGTCGTCGGTCGTCGGTCGTCGGTCGTCTGTCGTCTGTCGTCGGTCGTCGGTCGTCGGTCGTTGTTGTCGTCGTCGTGTTCGTCGTCGTCGTCGTCGTCGCCGCCGTCGTCGTCGTCGTCGTCGTCTTCGTCGTCGTCGTCGTCGTCGTCGTCGTCAGCGTCGTTGTCGTTTGAGGCCCCCCCCAGGGGCCTCTGGACACTTCTGGGCACCCGCCCAGGGGCCTCCGGGGTCCTCGGGGTTCTCCAGGGAGACCTCCACGTGGGCGTCGTGCGGGGGGACCTTCAGGAATCTCCAGGGGGCGTCCAGAGGCCGACGGTGAAAAGGAGAAGGAGGAGGAGGAGGAGGAGGAGGAGGAGGAGGAGGAGGAGGAGGAGGAGGAGGAGGAGGAGGAGGAGGAGGACGAGGGCGAGGAGGAGGAGGAGGAAGAGGAGGAGGAGGAGGAGGAGCATGAGGAGGAGGAGGAGGAAGAGGAGGAGGATGAGGAGGAGGTGGATGAGAAAGAGGAGGAGGAGGAGGAGAGGAGACATGAGGAGGACGAGGAGGAGGAAGGGGAGGAGGAGGAGGAGGGAGAAGGAGGAGGAGGATGAGGAAGGAGGATGAGGAGGAGGACGAGGAGGAGGAGGAGGATGAGGAGCAGGAGGAGGAGGGGAGGAGGAGGAGGAGGAGGAGGAGGAGGAGGAGGAGGAGGAGGAGGAGGAGGAGGAGGAGGAGGAGGAGGAGGAGGAAGAGCAGGAGCAGGAGCAGGGGTAGGAGCGGCAATGGCGCGTCGCTCGGGGAGGCGCGGCGGCCGCGTGGGAGTCGGCGGTGGCGACCTGGGGCAAGCTGCCGCTGTCGCAGGCGCTCTCGGCCGCGCTCGGCCGCCCACCGGCGGCCGTCGGTTCGGCGGCCATCCCCAGGCAGCAGCGCGCGCGGAACCTTTTCCGGCCTCCTCCTACAGCGCCTCGTCCTGCTGCTGAGGCTGCTGCTGCTGCTGCTGCTGCTGCTGCCGCTCCTCCCTCCTCTCCTCCTTCTCCTCCACGCTCGGTCAGGCAATTCACGCTCCGCCTCGCCGCGAGATGCAGCTCAGCTTCAACGCTTCAAGGCCTCCGGGTCCTGCGGGATCTCGGCCTCGCTGGGCCTCGAGCCCTAGGTGACGATGCCGGGAGGGCTTGGCAATGCTGCCACGCAGAGGCGGGGCAGGCGAATATCGTGTAGACGAGGGCCGCGCCCTGCACGACGCGGTGGCGTTGGAGATCCACGGGGTGCTTTCCTGCAGCGCAGCACCTGGCAGGGACGTTTGCTGACCAGGACCTTGAGAATACCATCTGCCGCGCGTGAGCGCCCCCGTTTCCAGTGGCCTGCCGCGCTGGCGGCCCGCGCGAGCTGCCGTGCACGGCCGCTCTGCCATCTTGCGCGAGACCCGTTTCATGTCGCCGCCCGCCTGGAGAGAGCGACGAGCGGAGCACGCCTCGATCCACGGCCGCGCCGCTCCCGGGCCCGCCGGCGTCCCGGCTCCGTCCAGAGACTCCCCGTGGAGGGGGTCCTTTGGGCCTGGTGCCCCCGCCGCGCTGCCCTGCCGCGCCGCCCGAGGGCGGCGCGTGCCCCCCCCCCCCCCCCCCAGGGCGGGCCTGGGCCGCCACGGGAGGCAAGCCGCCGTGTGCCGTCGTGGGTGGCGCGGGGGCGGCGATGGGCGGCCTGGGCGCCGCGGGCGGCGGGGGCCCGGCAGCGATGAGCGGCAGCTGCGGCAGTGCCGGGTGCTCCGGCGGGCACAGAGATATAACGCGCCACGCGGGAGTGTGCGCCGTTTTTGGCATCTGCTGGGGGCCCCCGCCGGGCCCAGGGGCCGTAACAGAAACGACTCGGGGCGGAAAACCGGTCCTGGGAGTGGGTCGAGACCTGTGGGGGTCGACGTTATGAGTAAGCCATGGCCTCGGGGATCTGGGCATGACGTCGGGGTCTGGGGATGGTGCAGAGCCCGCAGATGCTGCAGCAGGTGGCCCAGAATAGCCCGACGTCTGTGCAGGGAAACCAGATCATGTTGCCCACGAGGTGCAGGGTCTGCATGTGGTTCGGGCCATGCCCAGCCCGCGGAGGTCCGCGCGGATTTCTCGGATCGGCGCTGGGCCCCCCTGCCGGCGCCTCTGGAGCCGCCTCCGACTTGCTCCGCGCGCTGGGGAGCAGCTGGTCCGAGGAGAGGCAGGCGTTTGGGCAGTTCGCGACGCTCCGTCCCTGCACTCTCATCGCTTTTCTGGAAGAAGAGGCCGTGATACAACTTCTCAGGAGGTCTGCGCGGATTTCGGGCCCAACCGCCTTTGCACTCTTCTCGCTTTTCCCGTGCCGTCGTCGGTGTGTCCTCCAGCCCGTTCCTTCCCTCTTGTGCAGCGACGCTGGGTGATGCCCGGCGCGGGCTTCGGAGCCGGCCCCGCCATCCGCAGGACTTGCCAGCTCCTCGCGTCGGTTGCCAACGCGGGCGTCCTAGAGTCCGAGAGTTGATCCTCCGTAGCCAGAGTTTCCGTAGCCAGAATATCGGCTACGCTCGCAGGACAACTCTGCGGGGTGCTTGCTTTCTCGGCGGCGCGTCTGGCGAGGCTGTCTGGAAAGCATACTCGCACCGTGTAGGGCACGAATGTATGGCTTGCGCAGGGACCTCCTTTGGAGCAGCACCTGATGAGGACGCATTCCAGTATTCCTGATCATGTTGAGTTCTCAGTGATTGAAGAATATTAGCAAGTTGATCCTCCTCCTTCTGCTCTTCCTCCTGCTCCAGCTTCAGCCCCTTTCAGTGCCGGGGCGCCCCCCCATCTGGCCTTTTTTGGCAAACCAGGCATAATGGTTGACCATCGACACATCTTGCGATCGAGAATGGCCCTGCGCTGGCGGATACAGGCGCTCGACCCTGTGTCAGAGTCCCTATGCGGTGCAACGTATTTGGTTTCAGTGTGTGCTGTGTGGTGCAGCCGTGCAGGCTCCAGGAGATTGCCACGTTCGCCCGCCAGTTTCCCATCCAAGTGCTGGTCGGCATTCGCTTGCGCGCGGCCCCACCGACCCCGTCAGGCGACAGGCGCGCATGGGCGACCGCGACTTCGTGCACTTCGGGTACGGGAAGGGACCGTTCGCCAACCGTTCGGCGGGAGTGAACATCGGCCTTCGGCGACGGGATCTTGGTTGCAAGCTTCATCGCGTTGTATCCGGGCCCGTCTCCGCGCAGGGACGGGCGGGCCTCGTTCGCGTCACTTCGAGCTCCATAGGCCTCACGATTGTGGCGCTGTACTTCCCCCCGCCTGGCCCGCGCGGCACACGGGCCGCGTGGCGTAGGACGGCTGGTGTGCTCCTCGAGTGGCTCATTGCCCTTTGGACGCGACCCCTGAGCTTTCGAGTCCCATCATCTTCGCTGATTTGATCGATTTGCTCGTGCTGGACGAGATGTCGGCGGTCTTTCAGTGTGTGGACCCTTTTGTGCAGGACCGCATGGGGTACGTATCGAGGAGCCTACGTGAGCTGATGCATCGCCAATCCATGGGCTGCGCCACCACATTTCGTAAGATGGCGCCCGCCTACAACGGCGAGATGTCCTCGTCGTGATCCACCACTTGATCGTACTTGGAATTTCGGCGCAGTGGAGACCGCCCTCCAGACTCCTGGGCCCAGGGGGGCGTTCCTTCGGGAACTCAACGCAGCCATTGCGGAGAAGGCTCCCGACTGTCTCGGCTTCTTCGAGGCCGACAGGATCGACGCGGGCTACCAGTCTCTGATATCCGTCCTCGAGCCCATCGCGAAGAAACTCTTCGGCACGGTTCGCAGGACCCCTGGCGAGGCGCTCTCGTTAAATCGTGCTCGGCTCCGTCTGCTCCTCCGGCAGCGTGCTCGCCTTTGTGAGCTCTTCACGCCGCGCGTCTTTTTTGGTTGGTGGATCCGCGACCTCACGAATCGCATTTCCGTTGCGGGGCTAGACGATGGACGAGGTCGTTGCGTTGGAGTGAAGGCCTCCACGAGGCTTGGGGCCAGCGCGTTGCAGGTGTTCAGTATTTCAGCCGCCTGGCGGGGGCGGGACTGGGCCCCAAGCGCCGTGGCTACGCGGCGATGCGCCGACGCGGTGCTGCGTCCGACGAGCTTGCTGCCTCTCTGGGTGCTCCTGGGGAGGCTGGCGGCCTCTCGGCTGCGCGGGCTTCGCTTCCTGGGCTTTCGGTGCTGCTCCTGCGTCCCAGGCGGCAGGCGCAGGTCCCCTCACTCCCTGGTTCCTGGTTCCTGGTGGCTTCAGGGCCTGTTAGACGCAGCCATCCTCCCCCAGGGGCGTTTGCCCTTGGGTGGGTGGGGGTGATAAAACTGGAGCGCCCAGCCGTGAAATCGCTGGGGCTATGCGGCAAGGCGCGTTGTAGCAGGAGAAGAGAAAAGAGGAGTCGGTGGGCAGCGGTGTGGCGGTGGCGTTGCCTTGCGGCCAAGAACAATCTCGCCCAGGGGGGAAGGCGCAAGGGTCTCTCCCCCTGCCCATGGGAATCTCCCCAGCCAGCCCATAATCCCACGACGGGGACCATCGCCCACCGAGGCAGGCGTGGTGTTCCCGAGCGTGGAACGGGTGGCTGCTTCTTCTCCTCCTCCTCCTCCTCCTCCCCCTCCTCCTCCCCCTCCTCCTCCTCCCCCTCCTCCCCCTCCTCCTCCTCCTCCTCTTCCTCCTCCTCTTCCTCCTCACGCATCGCTCGTGGCCGACTCTGGTGACCCCTTGGGTGCTGCTATGCAGAGTGGACGCGTTGCTGTCCCGCCAAGCATCGCAGCGACTACCTCCCCCTCTCCAACTTCACTGTCGTCCCAAGCCCTTCAGCTACATGAGAGACGAACTGATAATTCAAAGTCTGACGGTAACCTGAGCGCTTCCACGTCCTCCTCTTCGTCCTGTACGTTTGGTTCTTCTTCGAGCGGCACTTTCTTTGGGGCTTCTTCCTCCTCCACATGTGGGTCCGCTGACGGCAGGCCTGATTTCGAGAGGCTCGTGCCTTCCGTGCCCGACCAGCCCTTTGCGATTTGCACGTGGAACGTGCGCTCTCTGTTCGGCGTAACATACGCTCCCCAGGCCTCACACAGAACCAAGTACGATCAGACTGTATCACTCTGTTCCAGATATGACATAGTCTGCATCCAGGAAGCTCGTGGGTCTCAGGAGCATCTTGAATACCTTTGCAAAGAAGTTTATCAAGCTTTTGGTGTTGGTACGTTTTTGGACTCGACTACTTCTGGAGGCTGTCTCATTCTTCTACATCCTACGCTTCAGAGGCTCTTAAGTCACGCTGAGCACGAGATCATAGAAAAATGTCGTATTCATAGCCCCACGCTCTACAACAACAAACATTGTCTACAAGTTATCAATATGCATCTGGATCACAACCATATGCCTATCACAAAACAAAATCAGCTTCGGCGAGTTCGACGGGCTCTAGTTCCAGCGGTGTGCGCCTCCCAGATTGTGCTGGGCGATTTCAATTTTGCTGCTCGCGGTGAAGGGTCTCGCCATGCGGACGGGCGTTTCGTAAGCAGCGGCCAGTCCACCGCTAAAGAGTTCGATCGGCTATTTCCTCACCTGGCAGAGGTGGATCAGACTTCTTTCGCGCACCGAGTTGAAGGCTGGCAAGGCGAGCGAAAGCACATTGAGTCCCTGAGCCGTCTGGACCGAACCTACGTCAGTTTTCCTGCCGGTGATCTGTGCGATCTCCACCCGGCGTCCAAAACCCTCGGCTCCCCGGCGGACCTCAAAGGGCTGTCCGATCACGTTCCCGTGGCGCTCTCGCTCCAGCCTTCTACCAGTTGCTCCAGTCGTATCCCGTCCTGGGTCACTAAGCACCCGAGGTACCAGCAGGTTGTCGAGGCCACTGTTGCAGGCGCTGGAGGTCTATCCGAGGACCCGCTGGAGGCCAGCGTCGAGGTTCGGGACTGTCTGATTGGGGCCGCCTAGGCTCTTAGGGGGGACTTGGAGGAGTTGGGGGCCGTATCGGAGGCTAGTCGTCTTTCTTGGGCTCTTGCAGCCCTTCGGGCTGTCAAGTCAGGTCATTCCGCGGTGCTCTACAGGGCCCTGAAGGCCTACCCGCAGCGCAGCGCTTACTTTAGTTACGCCGAATGCCGCCTTACCAGACATCCTGAGTTTCATGCGCTTCTTGGGGGACTGCAGGGCCAGGTATTCGATTCGGAGATGGAGGGGCTCAGGCAGGAGGAGGATATCCCAGATGCTAAGAGGCAGAGTAAGGTTAGCTCCTTGTACGCGTGCAAGAGTGTCTGGAGGTCGAAGAACCGCAAGCACGGTCTTGGAGCGGTATCCGATCCTGCAGGCTCTCCCTTGTTTGAAGCCGACGAGACTTGTCAGGAGCTTGCTCGGTATTGGGGACAGGTGCACAAAGAGACGGCCGTTTCTCGGGATGCTCTCAGGTGCTTTGAACCGTTCATCCAGGAGGTCCCCCCTGATATTCGCTGGGAGTTATCTTTCGACCTGTTCCTGAATATGATGGAAAGGATTCCAGACAGTGCACCTGGGCCCGACGGTGTACCTTTTTCTGGATGGGCACGCGCTGGCGACACCGCCACCAAGACACTCTACTTGCTCTACCTCCACATAATCCGGGCTGGCTCCACCCCCTCAACTTTAACGATGCCATGACAGCATTCCTCGCGAAGGGCGACGAGCCCTCCGACGCGAGCTTCTTTGTCAGGACTCCAGAGAAGACGCGGCCGATTTCCCTCTCGTACACGGACAATAAGATTGTCTCCGCGGCTATCAATATTCCCCTCGGGACCGTTTGCCAGCGGGTGGTTTTTCGTCAACAACGGGGTTTCGTCAGAGGCCGTCAGGTGCTCGGAAACACCCTGGACTTAGAGCCTAAGCGTCTTCACTGGTTGGTCCAGCAGAGTATGCAGACGAGCGATTACGTCTTTTTCGATGTGAAAGCCGCGTTCCCCAGCCTGATTCACGCGGCCCTCATGTTCACCCTTGGGAAGATGCTTTTTTCCTCGGGATGTGATACAAGCAATCCAGGCTCTGTGTTCCAACGTTTTCATCGCTGTCTCCTTCAGGGGCAATCGGAAGCACGGTTTTATCCTGGCCAGGGGTATTAAGCAGGGTGGCCCGATGTCGGGCTCGTTATTCGCGCTGGCGTGCGATCCCATCTTGCGCATGTTGGCGTGCAAGTTGCCGGGGCCGCTGCACGAGTTTGGGGCCTTCGCGGGCGACTGCGGCATGGCCAGCAGTAACTTAGAGGTGTCATTCCCGATTGCTATCGACATTTGGGTCCTGGCTGGCGCGGCCTTTGGGCTGTGCATCCACGTCAAGAAAACGATTGTCGCCCTGGTTGGGAGGTGCACGGAGGAGGAGCTTCGCTGCTCGATCGCTCGCCTGGGCCGTCTAGCTAAGTGTCGGGTTCGCACCGTCGCTCGATACCTGGGGATCATGATGGGGAAAAGTGGGTGCTCTGAAAGCAGGTCTCGTCCGCTGGCCAAGTTTAAGGAGCGCTCGTGCACGGTCCAGGGCCTAGACCTCGGGCTCGTGAAGTCCGTCTCGCACTTTACCATGCTGTGCACCTCTGTCCTGTCGCATGTCGGCCAATTGCACGCGCCCTCGCCAGCTGTTCTTAAGGAGGAGGAGAGGATGCTTCGGGTGATCGTTCGAGGACCGTTCAACGCCATCCCGTCCCAGGACCTTCAGGATCTTCGGGGGTATCGGCTTCCCGATCCAAGCCGCGCCTGTTCGATTGCGAAGCCAGACAGCCAGGTTCCGACTTGCCGAGCGCGTCGGGGCTTCCTCTGACGCGGTGGCGCACGTGTTAATTTTCAGCACCACTGACGAGTGTTGCAGTGCATGGCAGAATCACCCGATGTGGAAGGGCAGCAGCATGAAACACTTGTACGACAATCATCTGGCACTCACCAGTATTCCAGCAGCCCCGAGATATGTCCCCTTCATCCAGCGCGCCATGGGAAACATCCCCACGAGCCTGAATGTCCAGAGCCCCTTCGCCATGATCGAAAAGCGGGTTGCCAAGCTGGGTGGGCCTCTGGGTAGGCGTGAGGGCCAGAATCTGCAGTGTGCTTTTCGCAGGGTGTCGGATAAAGTCCCGTCCTGCGTTCTCTTGGTTCTTTTGAAAACGATCTGCAATTTTTGGACCTGAAGCAGGCGCTTCAAGGGTACCACCAAACCTTGCATTGCGTGGGGGCTCGACCATGGGGACTCGCTCAGACACGTTCTCGAGTGCCCGCGTTTTTCTGAAGTCCGTCTCTTCCTTCCCCTGCTTCCTTCTGCCTTCATATATTGCACGTTTGTCTAGAAATTGCAGTTGTATCGGCTTTTCCCGATCCCGACTGAAGCCCCAGCAAGTGTCGCTCTTTATTTGGACCTCGTTCACAGTGTGTATCATCATCTCAATCATCGCTCATGCACGTCTCAGGTTCTTTCTAATTGTACCAAAGCCCGAATCTCGCAGCTCGTCCGTCGGCAGAGTGACCTGTCTGGATACTTTGGCCAGGTCCACCGTGTGCCCGACCCAGGTAGGTTCCAACGCAGACGGCAGGTGTCCCTGCCCGCTGCCGCCGATGCTGAGCCAGCTAATCAACCTGGTCAGGCAGGACCGCCCCGCCAAGGTTTCGAACGCAGGCCATAGCATTCTTAGCCTTCCCCTGATGCGTGTTCCATCCTCCTCTTCCTCCTTCTCCTCCTCCTCCACTTCCTCCTCCTCCTCCTCCTTCTCCTCCTCCCCCTCCCCCTCTTCCTCCTCCTCCTCGTCCTCTTCCTCCTCCTCCTCCTCCTCCTCCTCCTCCTCCTCCTCCTCCTCCTCCTCCTCCTCCTCCCCCTCCCCCCCCCGTCCCCCTCCTTCTCTTCTTCTTCTTCTTCTTCGACCTCCTCCTTTTTCTCCTCCGTCTCCTCCTCCTCCCCCTCCTCCTCCTCCTCCGCCGCCATGTGGGTTCCACCAGGCGTGGGGGAGGTTTGGGCCTTCCCGGCGGCGGCCTCGTAGGGTTGTTTGTTCCACCCAACCCCATCCATGCATTCCTCCTTCTGGTCCTCCTCTGCCTTCTCCTCCTCCGCCTCCCTCCCGTTCCTGTTGTTGCCCGTGCTGTTTTGGCTGTTCGCCCTGCCCTGGTTCTTCTTGTCCCTCCCCCTTCTCCTCGTCCCTATCCCCTCTCTCCATCTCCTCTGCCTCGTCTTCCTCGTCGCGCTCCTTCTCCCCGCTTTGTCCTGGTCTTGTTTCTCCTGTTCGTTGCGTTTTCCCGCTGCTGCTCCTCCTCCTCCCCCTCTTCCTTCGCTTCCTCCTCGTTGCAGTTGTCGTCATCCCTTCCTCCTTGTTCCACTTCCTCGTCGTCGTCTTCCTTCGCCTCTCGCGTCCCCCCTCCCTCTTCTTCTCCCGCGCCCTCCTCTCCGGGACGCCCCCCCCTCCCCTGCCCCTCTTCCTGGCTCGCTCCCCCTGGAGGTCCTTCCCGCCCCCCGCCCGCCTACCGCCCCCACTTGCCGCCCCCGCTGCCCCCTTTCCCGCCTCCGCCTCCTGCTGCTCCTCGCCGCTGCCGCCGCCGCCGCCGTCGTCGTCGTCGTCGTCCTCGTCGTCGTCGTCGTCGTCGTCGTCGTCGCCTTCGCCGCCGTCGCCGCCGTCGTCGTCGTCGTCGTCGTCGTCGTCGTCGTCGTCGTCGTCGTCGTCCTCGTCGTCGTCGTCGTCGCCTTCGTCGTCGTCGTCGTCGTCGTCGTCGTCGTCGTCGTCGTCGTCGTCGTCGTCCTCGTCGTCGTCGTCGTCGTCGCCTATCGTCGTCGTCGTCGTCGTCGTCGTCGTCGTCGTCGTCGTCGTCGTCGTCGTCGTCGTCGTCGTCGTCGTCGCCTTCGCCGCCGTCGCCGCCGCAGCCGCCGGCGTCGCGTCGTCGTCGTCGTCGTCGTCGTCGTCGTCGTCCTTGTCGTCGTCGCGTCGTCGTCGTCGTCGTCCGTCGTCGTCCGTCGTCGTCGTCGTCGTCTCGTGGTCGCCGCCGTCGCCGCCGCCGCCGCCGGCGGCGTCGTCGTCGTCGTCGTCTTCGTCGTCGTCGTCGTCGTCGTCCTCGTCCTCGTCGTCGTCGTCGTCGTCGTCTTCGTCGTCGTCGTCGTCGTCGTCGTCGTCCTCGTCGTCGTCGTCGTCGTCGTCGTCGTCGTCGTCGTCCTCGTCGTCGTCGTCGTCGCCTTCGCCGCCGTCGCCGCCGCCGCCGGCGTCGTCGTCGTCGTCGTCGTCCTCGTCGTCGTCGTCGTCGTCGTCGTCGTCGTCGTCGTCCTCGTCCTCGTCATCCTCGCCGTCGTCGTCGTCGTCGCCGCCGCCGCCGCCGCCGTCGTCGTCGTCGTCGTCGTCGTCGTCGAGCGACAGGCATCCGCTCAGAATCGGTCTCCAGGCTGCTCTTTGGCCCTCTCCTGCTCGAGGTGCCCCCAGGGCTTGCCGCGCCCGCGTGGGCGTCCGCGCGGATGCCATGCGGCGGCGCGCCCGGGGGGGAAGGCGAGGAGGAGCAGGCCTTCCCAGCGGGCGGCGGGGCTTCTCAGAGGCCCTCGCGCCTGCGGAGAATTATTGTTGGTCTGAGGAGGCCCGCTCCTGCTCACTTCGCCCCCAGGCCCGCCGCCGAGCCATAGCGCTCGCCCATGGAGTCGGACAAGGCCCTCATCGAGGATCGAGGGGCGCCTTGGTGCACGCCAAGCAGGGCTGCGTTGGCCCGGGCTTGGGCGCAGGATTCTGCAGGATCCTGCAGGATCTTGCAGGATCCTGCAAGGCCTGATTGGCCTGGGTTTGGATTGACCCGGGTCAGTCGATCCCCGAGTGGAGGTGAGACGTCAATTCGGCTTCGAAATCCGAACCCTACGCTCGCCGATCAACGATTCAGGCAAGTCGACGCGCGGCGGGGGTAGGGTTCGGAATTCGTCGGACACGTGGCGCAATCCAGACCCTATCCCCTCGTCCCCTCCTGAATCGCTGGTTGGTGGTGTAGGGTTAGGATGGCGCCACCTATCACTACGTTTGGATCCAGGGTTCCTGGAATTGGCCGTACCCTGAGATCCTGGCGTCTTCTTTTTTGCTTGGGGCCGTGCGCTTTTGCCCCCGTTCGGGATCTGGGACCCTCACACATCGATTCGCTTCGAAACTTGGCGCAGAAAGATGGGGTCCATGGCTCTGGTCGTGATTTCCCCGGTTTTTTTGCCCGAGGCGTCAGATCTCAGGGTACGGCAAAGGCTTGGGGCCGCGCGCAGACAGCCTCCCCCCCATGCTATCCCAGCTGGCCACAACAGTCAGGCCCCCGTTGTGCAAGAGGGGGAAAACTCACACAGGCCCAATGAAGCTCCGACTCCCAGGAAACGGTGGGAAAGTATGGGGAGTGGCGGTGGGGGGAGGGGAGAAGACGACAACCCAGACGAGAACGGGGAAATCTGGGGAATCCTGAAACTTGTGTGTCTGTTTGTTTGTGTGTCCCTGGGCCCCTTCTGTTTGTTTGTGTGTCCCTGTTTGTCATGTAGCGTGCCGTGTTTGTTTGTTTGTTTGTTTGTTTGTTTGTTTGTTTGTTTGTTTGTGTGTGTTCTCCTCCTCCTCCTCCTCCTCCTCCACGCGGCCTTGGTGCTCGTCAGACGTTCTGGCCCCAACCTGCCCAGGAAGGCGCGGGTTCACTACCGGGGGTCCATCGCCGATCTATCGGCGATGTATCCCCGCTATGCCAGTCCTCCCCTATCGTTGCCCCCCCCCCCCCACCCGCCCCCTGTTACTCCACGAGTCGAAGAGCAACAAATGCCATAAGCATACACTTTTGGTGCTCCGTGCGGATTTCTTGGGTTCGCGCTGGGACCCCCCCCCGGCTGGCGCGCTCCGGCGCCGCTCCTGGCGCGCTCCGCGCGCCAGGGAGGGGGGTCCAGCGCAGATCCAAGAAATCCGCGCGGAGCGCCAAGAGTTTAAAGCGTATGCCGTTGTTTCTGCTTCGAACGAGGGCCGCTGGATATTCTGGGAGTCCTGGAACGCTTCCTGAGCCAAGCTTCTCGTCGTCAGGCAGGCCTTGGATGGGGACAGACTTCTCCAAGGCGTTGCGAAACGCTCTTGAACGGTCCTCCATATCCGCCGGCTCTCAGAGCTTCCCGACTTGTCCTCATCCTCATTCGAGCGACGCCAAAAAACGGTGTCGCTGGCGCCGAAATTCGCGCGTAAGCTGCCCGCATCACCTCGCGCGTAAGCGCCCTCGTCTCCAATGTAACGTGCCGCGTTGGCGGCCCGCGTAAGCCGCCGCGTAAGGTCGCTGTGTCATCTCGCGTGAGACCCGTTTTTGATCGTCGCTCATTTGTCCTCATCCTGCCTTCGTCTTACCCCAGCATGCGAGTTTCCCAACATGGGTTTCCCAGACGTGCCGACCCTTTCCCAAGGGTCGGTTTCTCATCCTGGGTCGTTTTCTGACGGTCCTCGCTGGTCCCGGGAGGCCGACAACAGAGAAACAAACACCGTAGTGAGTTTTTCGGAGCGCTGGAGGCCTAGGTAATCATTGCTACGTGGCAGTACCGGTGGCTGCGTCCGAGCTTGGCGGCGTGCATTGAGTGAGAGGAGTCTGGTATCCGCTGAGCCAGACGTGCAAGGAATAGCTGCAGCAGGGAGGGGAGACAAGACAAACAGGGAAGGTAATACAATTTGACACCGTAAGGGTAGATCTACAGATCATCTGTCACCAGAGATTCTAGCACGCCTCTGGCCCGTTGGGCCGGCGCATGACATGGCACGATCCTCGCCCCAAAGGGGGCGGTGCTGGTGTGCCCTTGGGTTCCCCCCCTGGCCCTGTCTGGCGCTGTGTGTGCGCGCGGGCGCGCGCGTCCCTCCCTTCCCCCCGCCCTTCTCCTCCCGCGCGCCTCCCGTCGTTCGTTCGTCTGTCGTCCGTCGCTCGTCTGTCGTGTCGTGCCAACGGGCTCCGTCTGCGCCGTTTTGAGGGGGTGCCCTTGGCGCCCCCCCCCATCCCCGAGGAGGGCGGCGACGCTTCGCCCGCCCAGATGCCCAGCTGCGGCTACGCGAACCGGACGAACACTTCCCGGGGCGCCATGGGAGACGCGGAAGGAGCGGAGGGACACCGGCGAGGTTTTCCCAGTTGGAGCTGATTGGGGGTCGGAGGTGGCCCAGCATTTCTTGCCCTCCTGGATGGGGATCGAGTAGAGGGGGTCGGTGGATCGCGCCGCATCGCCGATTTTCTCCGCGCTGGCACCGCCGAGGCACCGCCGATGTCGCCGAAGCGGCGCGATCCTCCGGCCCCATCTGCTCGCACCGCATCTGAGAGCCTCTGGCACTGGTTCCGGCGAGCAGGAAGGAGGGGCGGGGTCCGAGGTGCCGGGTTCAGGAAGGTCTTTCGCCCGGGGGCTGTCAGAAACGGATCCAGCGTGAAGAATTGCAGATGCATCCCAGGAGGGACCCGGGGGCCGATTCTGATCGGATTTGGCTCCGCCACCTCTCTTGACCGCTCGTTTTGGGGCCCTTCAATCTCAGACCCCCCAGCTGCCTCCAGGTTCCCGAGTCTGCGGCGAGATGATTCGCTCAGGGCGTTTTCCTAGATTTCGGCCTCTGAGCCTCAGTCTCGGGCCACAGGACCATCAAAACTTGATCTGGGGCGAGAAACTGGTCCTGGGGAAGGGGGCCGTACCTTTGGGGCAGCGCGCGCGCGTTGATACATCGTATCGTAATTATGTTCTCGGCGGTTTTTCAGCCTCGGGGTGCTCTCAGGCAGCTGCGACTGAGAGCGTCCCCGAGCGGCCGCAAGAGGTTGCCTGTGTCTGGGGGTCAGCGATGTGTGCCGTTTATAGAAGTGGTCCCAGGCTGGGGAGGTATGGCGACTACTTACGCAGGCCGAAAGATTTTCCTCTTGAGCCCTACATGTCGGAAGTGACGCGCCGATCCCCTGTGTTCTCCTTCCACCTCCTCTTGCCTCTTCCCTCATCTTTCCCCTCTTCATCCTGCGAGCCCCCCCCTTCCCCCGTAGAATCATAGCATTGGTCTGCAGATCCACAGCTCCGTGGATAGCATGATGCTTCACTTGCGGTGCCCCGCAGGTCCCATCTCCCCTGGGTCCCGGATGTTAATTCTTATTATATATTTTTCCCGGGAAATAAATGGATCTATTGTTTTTCACACACAGGAAATTGGATCCGCGCAACACAGAAATAGGATCCACGACACTCTCCCACACCCGAACAGGCATCCAGTTGAATCCATTGATGTTTTCATATTTTAGTCCAAGAGGAAATCACTCTCGGCCTGGGGATGTAAGCCTGAAGTCCGCATTCGTCATCTTTTCGATCAAACTGTTGTTTTGAATTTGTTTTCGGTTGTTAGATGTCGGTTCGGAGTCCCCATTCTTGGTCGGTATGCGCTCGAGAAGGTATTTGTCAGGTTAGCGATGCACGTACAGTCGACCCGCACAGTGAGGATGAACGACTTTCCCAATAATACCCTTGCATCCCTACTTCCTCGGCCCATCCTTGGACACTTTCGCTTGAAAAGCTTCGAAATGGGCGTCCAAGGCCCTTGCATCCTCGTCGCGCATCCTTATGATACGGGTCGGCTGTAAGTCTTCGGGGTGGGTTGCGCGATTGGTCGGGCGCGTGGTTTGCAGCTTCGACGTGTGCCCGAGGGTGTCGGAACTCGGCCGTGGCTGTGCCGCGGGCGCGGCTCCTGCGCGGCATGCGGCCTCCGCTGACGCGGTGGCACGCCCGGCAGCCGCTGCGTCCACGGAGCGTCTGGTCGAGTTTGGCTCGCACGGGCACGCCGTATCGAAGCATGCCCGTGCAACACTTGAGCGCGACACGGCGAGGAGGATGAGGATGAGGATGAGGATGAGGAGGGGGAGGAGGCGGAGGAGGAGGAGGAGGGAGGAGAGGAGGGGGAGGCGAGGAGGAGGAGTAGGAGGAAGAAGAAAAGGAGGAGAGGAGGAGGAGGAGGAGGAAGAGGAGGAGGAGAAGGAAGAGGAGAACGAGGAGGAGGAGGAGGAGGAGGGAGGAGGAGGAGCAGGAGGAGGAGGAGAGGAGGAGGAGGAGGAGGAGGAGGAGGAGGACCAGGAGGAGGAGGACGACGACGGCGGTGACCTGGCCAGGGAGGCGTATACGGGCCTGCCCAAAATCTGTGCAGGTGTACAGTCGGCGCATTACGTAAATCGGCCTGCGAGCAGGTGCCCGACGGACACTTCTCATTCCCCAGTGGTCCCAGGGACCCAAACAAGCTCTGGGGCGCCTGAGGACCCTATGAACGTGCCCCGAGAATTTTCGGCAAGATCTCTTATCGTATGTGCCTGCTGTAGTTTGGGTCCTGCCAGGGTCGGACGTGAACACCGTGACCAGCGCAGAGGTCAACTCCACCGACCTCGCGGACCACGTCGCCGGCAGCCAGGGGCTCTCAACAAGCGCCCAGCGTGCCCCGAAGACGGCCCGATCGCGGGCGCCAAGGTAAGCCCGAGGTGTGCCCCCCCCCCCCCCCCCCCCCCCCCCAAAGAGACACCTAGACGACCCCACGATGATTGCAGGATCAGGGGTCAGCCTCCGAGTAGATCCCTCCTTCTCCTCTTCCTCCTCCTCCCTCTCCTCCTCCTCCTCCTCCTTGTCCTCCTCCTTCTAGACGACGATGGGCACAACGACGACGACGCCGCCGCCGACGACGACGACGACCACGAACGACCCGACATCTGCTCGAAACGGGTGCCCCTGACCCCTCCCATGGTATGTCCTGGCCGTGGCGACGAGAACCCACAGGAGCGCCCCCAAACCTGTCAAATTGACGACGACGACGACGAGGACCCCTGACGTTCGCGGGTATGATTTCTTCCACCTGCGGCCCCAGAGTCCCCGACCACTTTTCCAGGCCCAGCTTTTGCTGCGGATCCGCTTCTGGTGGCCCCAGGGGCCCGACAAAGGGCCCCGTGGGCCGAAGTTGAGGGAACGCACCCGGATGGAAGCAAGCACATCGTCGGAGATCCGACGACGCCGAAGACGAAAACGACGAGCACGGCGGCGACGACGACGACGGCGCCGACGGCGGCGACGACGACGACGACGACGGCGACGGCACTGCCGGGACACGCGCACCTCCCCGGCTGCTCGTGCCTTGCCCTGGACCCCGCGGGAAACGGGGAAGACGCCGAGAACGGCGGCGACGGCCCGCAGGCCGCGTCGCCGACGACGTGATCGCGCAGGCCTTCGTGTCGCCGCCCAGCACCGCGCCGGACCTCGCGGCCCTCCGGGCAGAGAACGACCGCCTGAAGGCCCAGCTGCAGGACGCGCCGCGCGGGTCGCCGTGCCTCGAGAGGGGGAGATAGCCTTGGTGCGGTCAGACGGGGTCGTTTGGGGGATCGCTCCTCGTCCGGTTCCTCCCGTTCCTCCTCCCTCCTTCCTCCCTCCCCCCTTCCTCCCTGCTCCTCCGGGTCTCCCTCCCCCCCTTCATCCTCCTCCTCCTCCTCCTTTTCTCTTTCCCTCCTCCTCCTCCTCGTCCTCCTCCCTCCTCTTCTCATCGTCCTCCTTCCTCCTACTCCTCCTGCTCTCCTGGGGGTTCTGAGACTGCCTGACTGCACTGGAGAGAAGGCGCTGTGCCGCTGCCCTGGAGAGCCCTCGTCGCCTGATCTGCGTCGAGATCCTCGTCGGAACACCCGTCGAGTCGCGGTGTCGGCATCTGTTGTTCCCCCCTGGTCTTGTGGTCAGATCCGGTCGTGGCGACGAGGGCGCCCCCCCAGGGGGCCCGTGAGGAGGGCCTCGGGTCAGGCCCCCAGAGGACACGACAGAGACTGACCAGGACATCGGCAGGTCGGGGAAACGACACCCTGTCCTGCAGAGTCAGATGTGGTCGTCCAGTGCATGCTTTTTGTTCCGCTGCTCTGCAGGATTCGGACCTCTGGGTTTAGGGGGGTCTGCAGTCTTTCAGGGCCTTTGTCTGGGGTTGAGTTCGAGAACGTCGCAGTGCAGTTTTTTTCGTGTCGCCGTCTGAAAACACTTGGTTTCCAGGGATGTTGGATGTCCCAGTTTAGCGTGTCCTGGTTTACGGGGCCCTGATCGGGAATCGAAGGACAAACAACACAATGAACATCATCTTTCGGGAATCCGTGCGTTTTCTTGTTGATCTGCCCTGAGCTCAGCGCCCTGGAAGCCAAGACTTTTTACGTCGCAGCGCGGCAGAGGCAGTCCGCACGCGCGTCCGAGTGACAGCGGGGCGCTGGATCACGAATTAGCCCTCATGCAAGAGGGGAGGGAAGCAGGAGAGGGCGGCCGTGGGAGGAGGGAGCGCGGGGGTGTACTCACGCAGCTGGGCCGCAGTGGGGGCGTGGGCGCGGCCGGGATGAGGGTCTAATCTGGCAGCGGCTGCGGGTCGGCTTCGCAGCGCAGCCACGTTGGGAGGCCAGCGGCCACAGTGCGGGCGTGACCCGGCAAAAGAGAGGATGGAGGCGGCGGCGGCGGTTGGTAACCAGGTCGCTGGCGGAAGAGGGATGAATGGCAGCGGCGTGGCTCCGGCGGCAGAGGTCGGTCGGCGCTGCAGCTTTTGCAAGGGGCCCAAGGCGGTGGAGGGTGCGGCGGCCCCGCGGAGAGGGCGGCCAGCGTAGGCGTAAGAGAAGCAGCGCCACTCCACAGCTGGTGCGCGGCATCACGGCGGGAGTTACACGACGCCCAGTGCAAGTGACGCACGGGCGGGACCCTTTAGAGCGAGGGGGGGGGTGCCCTTTGCAGCCAGCCGTCCATTGTGGCGGCGTGGGCAAGGTGGGAGCGATTCGCAGTGGCGGTGGCCCCCGAGGCGGGGGGGCAGCGAGGCTGCGACTGGGGCAAATCCACCAGCAGCGCAGGGGCTGCAGCGCCAGCGCACGTCCTGGAGCGAGCGCGGTGCGCGGACCGCCCAGGGCCGGTGCACAGCGTCGCGGCCTGGGTCAGCAGTAGGGGTCGAGCCGCACAGTGGGGCCGACCCGGAGTGGGAGGAGGGCAGTGCCGGCGGTGGCCAGGGCGGCAAAGCGAGAGGTGGACCGCGACGGCGGCTACCCACGCCGTTCGCCGGACCAGGGTTGCGACTGACTGCCGCCCATGCTGGTGGAGAGGGCTCTGCACAACCCGTGGATCGTCGATCGGCCTGTGTTCCAGGCTCCCCCCCCGAGCAGCGGTTGGACGCACCGCATTCTGGCGTCATAAGCGGGTGCGAGGAGCATCGTCCGCTGCCCGCGCCACTCGCCGTGCCAGGGTGGCGAATCACTGCCGCGCGTGCTGGTGGAAAGGGTTCCGGCAGATCCTGCGGACCAGCAACGTGACCTGGGTCAGTCCCGCCGCGTCCCGCCAGGTCTGAGGAGGAGGCAGGCACGGGCCCACCAACGCCAGGGTTTGCGGGATTGCCGAGAGGCGGGGATTCACGAGTCTCACCAGGTTCCCGACGCACCGCCACCCCCTCTGGGGGGCACCCCTCGCTCTCCGCAGTACCAGGTTGAGACCTGCGGCTGACTGCCGCGCTTGCCAGTGGAACGAGACCCGCCAGAACCTGCGGGTCGGCAGCGTGGCCTGGGTTGGCAACGCCCCGCTCTGGAAGGTGTGCAGAACCATGCCCGCCGACGTTAGGGGGGATATGACTGTCGATGGGCCTGCTCTCCAGGTCCCCGCGGGGCTCACGACCCACCGCGCTCCCTCGAAGGCGCCCATCCTCCTCGGTACGACCCGTTCCAGGTGTGCGACCAACTGCCGCGCTTGCTGGTGGGCGAGGGTCACAAGGGCTTCCCGCTGCTCGGGCACAGTCTGGGTTGGCTAACCCAAGTCTTGGGAGGCCGGAAGCGACTCGCGGAGACCGATCTTGTCGTCCAGGTGCGGGCAGGGTCGTCGTGATACTCGGAGTGGTTCTCGCTTGGCCCTGGGACCCCAAACGAGAGCGCCCCCAGACCCTTCCCCCCTTGGGTTAACGGCAACCTTTCCTCAGCGCCAGGTATGCGACTATCTGCAGCGCATTATGGTGGAATCCCACCTTGGTCTAACGACAGGCCTGCATCATCACCAGGGATGCGGCTAACTGTTGCGCATGATTGTGGAACAGGCTCGTTTCGCCCCTCCTGGCGACCCGAACGACTGGTGCCCCCGTCGTCGGGCGCCATGGGGCAAGGCGTGCAGACATTGGATTCCCGTTCCGGGTCGGGGGTAGGCGCTCGAGTGGCCCGCGGGGGACCCGGGGGCCACCTCACTGCGCAGATGATTGCGGGCCCCAGCCTAACACCCAGCCTCTCGCTGAGCAGCGCCAGGGCCAGCCGCCGCCGCCCCTGCCCGTTCGTCTCGCGCGTGCTGGTCGGGGTGCTGTAGCAGATGATGGTGGTCTCCAGCTGCGCTCCCAGCATCTCGCCGAGCGGTGCCGGGGCCGGCGGCCGCTGCCCTTGCCCGTCCTGAGATGATGCTGGGCTCCAGCCCCGCTCCCAGCACCTCGCTGAGCAGCGCCAGGGCTGGCTGCCACTGCCCCTGCGCGTCCTGCTCGCGCGCGCTGATCGGGATGCTGTAGTGGATGATGGTGGCCTCCTGCCTCGCGCCCAGCATCTCGCTGCGCAGCACCTGGGTCGGCTGCCGCTGCCCCTGCCCGTTCATCTCGCCAGTGCTGATCGGGGTGCTGTAGCAGGTGATGGTGGGCTCCAGCTGCGCCCCCATCATCTCGCTGAGCAGCGCCAGGGCCAGCTGCCTCTGCCCCTGCCCGTCTTTGCGGCACGCGTTGATCTGGGTGTTGTAGTAGATGATTGTGGGCTCCAGCATCGCGCCCAGCCTCGCTGCACGGCTCCAGGGCCAGCTGCCGCTGCCCCTGCCCGTTCGTTTCGCCCGTACTGTTCGGGGTGCTGCAGCGGGTGATTGTGGTTCCAGCTTCGCTCTCAGCGTCTCGCTGAGCAGCGCCCGGGCCGACTACCACCCGTCATTCCCGCACGCGCTGACCGGGATGCTGTAGCAGGTGATGGTGGGCTCCAGCTTCGCATCTGGAATCTCACCGAGCAGCACCAGGGCCAGCTGCCGCTGCCCCTGCCCTGTCCGAGGGGCCTGCAGCGCCGGCGAGCGCCAGGCCAGGAGGTCCACCCGGCGCCGTCACCGTCGCGGCGGCGGCGGCCGCCGCGCGGGAGAGGGCGGCCGCCGCAACCCACTGGCCAGCGGCGGCCGCCGCGGCGACGGCGCCAGCGGCGCCGGCCCCGCGGCAGCGCTGCCGGGCCAGGCCGCCCTGCCCCAGAGGAAAGGGCGCCTTCAGGCGATGGCCTTGAGCCAGAGGGGCAGGGTAAGCAAACGTGCGAGCCGTGACTTTGTAATTTCAGCTAGAGAGACAGGATAATTGTTTTTTTTCGCAGCCCTCGGCCGCAGTTCGCTAGGATGTGCACATGTCCTGGCGGATCAAAACCCGCGTCAACAGGTCCCTGATGCACCCCGCCTGGCGGCGCTTCTGGCGTCGCCCCTGGCGCGCTCCGCGCGCTGGTGGTCAAAGGGGCCTGGCGCAAACCCACGAGATGCAGTCGAGACGCTGAAATGAGGACCACTTTGTGCTCTGAGCGGCCTCTGGTTTAAAAGTCCTGGCCGTTCCCGATATTTAGGTTGTAGAATTTATCCGCGGCCGAGGCTCACCGTGGCTCGAACGTCCTCTTCTTTCCCTCTTCAGCCGTCCTTATGGTGGCACGACAGTTGTGCGCGCGGATCTCCGAACGTTTATGCTCGCTTGGTTTTTGTTGGGGGGGCCGTCCTGGTGCTCTTCGCCCTTTTCCCAATCGAGAGCCGCATGAATGACGGGGAAAAAGGTGGCCTTGGATGAAGAGGAGAAGAAGGTGGAGGAGGAGGAGGAGGAGGAGGAGGAGGAGGACGCAGGACGCAGGCCGAGACGCACGATCCAAGCAACGAAGGCGCAGCGGCATCAAAACAACACAGTGTCCAGGAGCGGCGTCGAGCCACTCAATGGGACCTCGCTGCCTGATAAGGCGAGCGGCGCAGTCTCGGAGGGGGGCCCATCATCTTTTTGTCACCCCTAGGTGCGGCTTTGCATGGGCGGCGCGCCGAGGCCCGACAGCCCCCCCCATAAAAACAAGTCAGTAGCGCACCCGACTTGGGGTGCCGACCCTGCGAAGCATATTTGATCTGGGTGGCCAGGGAACTACGCGTGCTGCGGCGGGTGGTCCTGCCCTTGCGCGGCTTCTTAAGACCGCGACAGGCCCCGTCAGGCACCGCGAAGAAGGTGCTGCTGGAGCAACAGAAGATAATGCGGCCGCACTGCTGCGCAACGTGGCCAAGCACCGTGCAGTGTAAGAAGGATTGCTTGTGTGTGTGTGTTGCTTGCTTGCTTGCTTGCTTGCTTGCTTGCTTGCTTGCTTGCTTGCTTGCTTGTTTGCTTGTGTGTGTGTTTCCACGGCGCGAGGATTCCAGTGGAGGGGGCAACGTGAAGGGGCGGTAGGCTGGGTGGGGGGGGGCATGCTTCGACCTCCAATCGACCCTTCATCGCCGATATGGGGACCGGTGGCCCATCCCGCCACTCGCTGTCGGGGGCCTCTCGGCGACGCGTCGGCGATGCATCGCCGATTCCAGGGTCGATGTCCCCCCCCCTCCGAGCCAGTCCCCCCTAACGTTAGTTCGGGTACGTCCCTCCACAGGAGGCGTATTCAAGAATACACACATCTAGTCTGAGGACACTTTTTTCTCGACTATCTCTGACTCTTGTTGAATATTTGTTTGACTCTTTTTCTTTCTCTTTCAAAAAGTCCACCTGTGGGAGGAGTACATGCCCGACCTAACCCCTGAGGTCCCCCCCTCATCAAATGGCGGCCTTTGGCGGTCGGCGCGGATTCGGCGCGAAATCGGGGCGGATGCGACGTGGACTCGGCGCGGATGTCGGCGCGCATATCGACGCTTTTGTGGCGCGGAGTCGGCGGGGGCCGGGGGTGCCCTCCAGCGCGCAACGGGGGCAGGCGAGAGGCCCCCCCGAAAGTGGCGCAGCGCAGCAGAGGCGGTGACCACCAGGTGGGTCGCCGGCTCCTCCTGATGATCGAGATTCTCCTCCTCCTCCTCCTCCTCCTGCTCCTGCTCCTCCTCCTCCCTCTCCTTCTCCTCCTCCCCCTCTTTCCACTCCCTCCTCCTCCTTCTCTTCCTCCCTCTCCCTCCTCCTCCTCCTCCTCCTCCTCCTCCTCGCCCTCCCTCCTTCTCGCCCTCCCTCCTCCCCCCCCTCCTCCTCCTCCTCTTCCTCCTCCTCCTCGTCCTCTCGCCCCCCAAAAAAGCGGCACCACCCCATCTGTGGCCCTCCATGTTGCGCTACGGGCCATCGGGGGCCGTAGCGCATACCACGCAAAAGCCCCCGCCGGATGTCCTGGTATACGCTGAGCCCCATTGGGCCGCAGGTGGGGTGGTGCCGCTTGTTTTCTGGTCCAGGTCGAGATTCGAGGATCGATGTGTCTCTCCCCCTTCCCCGAGAGCCGACGTTGCGGACAAAGTGCAACCTCGCGAAAAATCACGGCTGGAGCCCTTGACCTACCTTCCGCGGCATTTTTCGAGCTGGATGGATTTGTGATGGTCCTGGGGCCCGAAACTTCGTGAAGACGCCCGGAGTGGAAAAACGCAACGCCTGGATCTCGGGGCCTGAGCCGGTCCCACCCTCCAGTGGCGATCCCCTCGTTGACGAGTCTTGGGTTTGCATTGGTCCTCCTCCTCCTCCTCCTCCTCCTCCTCCTCCTCCTCCTCCTCCTCCTCCTCCTCCTCCTCCTCCTCCCCCTTCTTCTTCTCCTCCTCCTCTTCCTCCTCCTCCTCCTCCTCTTCCTCCTCCTCCTCCTCCTCTTCCTCCTCCTCTTCCTCCTCCTCCTCCTCCTCCTGCTTCTCCTCCTCCTCCTCCTCCTCCTCCTCCCCCTCCTCCCCCCCCCGAGGATGCCGCCGACCTGCGGGAGGAGAACGAGCGCCTCCGGGGCGAGGTCGAGCGGGCCCGCCGGGAGCTCGAGCCCCGGCTGGCGCTGCTGGAGGCGGGGCGGGGCCCGCCAGGCGCCGAGCTGCAGGCGCATGCCCGCCGGGCGCCCCTTGCCCGCGCCCTTCTCGGTTTTGTTGTTTTGGCGTTTCTCCTCAGGGGTTCTTGCCGGTTGCCCAAGCAAGAATCGGACGGGCAGGCCAGGGTTTCGGCTGGGGCCCGGTCGGTGGTCGCCCGGTGGGCGCCTTCTGGGCGTCCTGTACGCTGAGGGGGTACGCCGGGTTTTTGCCGGGCGCCCGCCCGTGGGCGTCTCGTGGGCGCGCCGCGCGCGCCCAGCGCTGGGGGGATGATATGCCAAGGCTTCGGCTGGTGCCCGCTCGATGGCGCTCGTGGGCTTAAGTCGGGCCTGTCCCCCTACAGGAGGAATACTCAAACATGGTTGAAAGATAGCATTGGGACGATTTCTGGATCATTTTGACACTCTTTATAAAACAGGTATTCTTAATTGTCCTTCCGAAGCCCGCCCGTAGGAGGACATGCCCGACCTAACGCTCATGGGCGCCTCTTGGGCGCCCCGTGCGCTGGGGTGGATGGCAAGGTTTCGGCTGGTGCCCGCCCGTGGGTGCCTCGTGGGCGCCCACAGGGCGGCCGCGCATCTTGCACCACAAAGGCTGGACCACATCGCTTGCGCCACAATTTCTGCGTTCAGTCGGGCATGTCCGTCTACAGGGGGAATCCGTTTTTTTGTGTTTTAGTGTTTTTTTTGTTCCCCCGTTTTTTCATATATGGGGGTATAATTTTGAGTATTTTCTTCGGCCAAATCCGCCTCTAGAGGGACATTCCTGACCTCATGCTTGAGCCATCTGGACTGCCCCACAGAGCTTGCACGACATAACTTCTAGTTACCACACAGCTCCCACAAGATAACTTACACCACATTGCTTGCACCACATGGCGTGCACCACACTGCTTGCACCACATCGCATGTCGCACATATTTTCCAGTACATAGCTTGCACTACATAACTTGTGCCACAGCTTGCACCATATAGCTTGCAACACATAGCTTGCATCACATCGATTTCGCGACATAGCCTTTAGCATCACATCATCACATAACTTACGCCACACAGCTTGCACCACATAGCTTGCACCCCATATATTCTCCTTTCTTAAAAAGAGAATGGACTCTACCCCCCCCCGGCGTTATCGACACCCCTTTCGGGTATGTAAGTCGCATGTGATTATGACCACATGTCCATCCTAAATATGAAAGCACAATGTCCTAGGCCAACCGCTATCCCCCCCTGAGGTTCCTTCTTTTTTTGTAAAAAACACTATGCGGTGACATTTTTTGTTATATCATCGCACTTTTTCGCGAATCCCTTGCAAAACATGGGACGAAATGCACACGCGCGCGTCGTCGCGCGCGCATGCCGAAATCCTTCAAAAACCTTCGGTGCCGGGAGGATTTCGCAACCGAGTTTCCAAAACACATACAAAAACACAGGGTTTCGTAACACTGAATTGCTAAAAAAGCTTACGCGCGAGCTCTTGCGAAATCTTAAGAAAACCAAGATTTTTTTTGAGATTTTCACAACATGCTACCAAACGGGCGTCGCACGCGCGCATGTCGAAACCTGTCGAACGCCCTTGCGCGTGTGCCGTCGCGAGAATCCTCTACAAAAAAAGGGACGAAGTGCAGACGCGCGCGTCGTCGCGCGCGTACGCCGAAATCCTTCAAAATCCATCGGTTTCGGAAGGATTTCAAAATCGCGCGTCCAAAAAACCTACAAAAACAAAAGGTTTCGCAACACGGATTTTCAACAAAAGCGTGCGCGCGCGCTCTTGCGGCGTCGTCGTCGTCGTCGTCGTCGTCGTCGCCGTCCTCCCTCCTCCCGCGTCGTCGTCGTCGTCGTCGCCTTCGTCGTCCTGTGCCTTTCCTCGTGTTCGTCGTCGTCGTCCTCTTTGGTCGTCCTTCCTCCTCCTCGCTCGTCGTCGTCGTCGTCCGTCGTCGGCGTCTCGTCGTCGTCCCTCCTATTTCGTCGCCGTCGTCGTCGTCGTCGTTGTCGTCGTCGTCTCGTCGTCGTCTTCCCTCCTCCCTCGTCGTTGTCGTCGTCGTCGCGTCGCCGTTCGCGTTCCTCCTTCTTCGTCGTTCGCGTCGTCGCCGTCCTCCCTCCTCCCTCGTTGTCGCCGTTGTCGTCGTTGTCGTCGTTGTCGCCGTCGTCGTCCTCCCTCCTCCCTCGTCGTCGTCTTCGTTGGCGACGTCGTCGTCGTCTTCGTCGCCGTCGCCGTCGTCGTCGGCGTCGGCGTCGTCGTCGTCGTCGTCGACGTCGGCGTCGTCGTCGTCGCCGTCGTCGTCGTCGTCGTCGTCGTCGTCGTCGTCGTCGGCCGTCTTGCTTCTCGGGCCTTCTTGGGGCGCTCTTGAGACGCCCCCGAGGGCTCCAAGACGACCCCGGAATGATATCTGTGCTCGGTCCCGCAGGGTTTTGCAAGCCAAGTTGCGGATGGGTGGGTGGGATGATTGCGCGAGCAGTGGAGTTGACAACTTCAAGTTCGGTAAGTGACTTGCATCCCATAAATGTCACCACCAAGTTTCCACACCACATGCTAGCTTGCATCACATAGCGTGCACCACATTGCTTGCGCCACCCAGCCTTTAGCACATAGTTCCATGGCATATGTTGTTGCGATAATGATCAGGACTCGCGCGTGCCTGGCACCCAATGTGGTGTTGGAAGGCAGCTGAGGCTGTAGCTGGGCTCCCGCGGGAGCCTAGTTCCGTCTGTCCGCGAGCAGTGAACGCGGGCATGTGGTCAGCGTGAAACAATTTATCGTGGCGAAGGACCCAACCATATGCAGTTGTGAGTAGCGCGTTGTGGGTGCCGCTTTCGGTGGAACTCCCTATGGGGCCACGAAGCGCGTGAGGGACGTGCCGAAATGGGTGGAGAAGACGCATGCCGGCGGTGCAACTGGGGCCTTCGGTGGGGCTCCCTATGGGCCACGAAACGTTGTCCTGGGTGTGGCTGACGCATGCGGGCGGTGCCCCTCGCTGGAGCTCCCGATGAGGCCACGAAACGCTGTATTGGTTGGGGGAAACGCATGCGAGCGGTGTCGCTGGGGTCTTCCTGTGGAGCTCCCTACGGGGCCACGAAACGCTGCACTGGTTGGTGGCCGACACATGCGGGCGGTGCCACTGGAACCTTCGGTGGAGCTCCTTATGGAGCCACGGGAGGGGGGGACGCATGCGGGCGTTGCCGTTGGGGCCTTCGGTGGCCACTGGAGCTCCCTACGTGGCCACGAAACGCTGTACCAGGTGAGGGGGGCGCATGCGGGCGGTGCTATTGGGGCTTGGAGGAGCTCCCAATCAATGGGGCCGCGAAATGCTGTAGTGGGTGTTGGACGACGCATGCGGGCGGTGCCATTGGGGCCTTTTTGTGGAGCTCCCTATGGGGCCACGAAGCGCTGTACTGGCTGTGGCGGACGCATGTGGCCACCCCCACTGGGGCCTTACGTGGAGCTCCCTATGGGGCCACGAACCGCTGTACTGGGTGTGGCGGACGCATGTGGCCACCCCTTCTGGAGCATTACGTGGAGCTCTCCCTATGGGGCCACGAAAAGCTGTACTGGGTGTGGCGGACGCATGTGCCCCCCCCCCCCCCCCACACTGGAGCCGCAGTTGGGGCTCCGTATGGGGCCACGAAAAGCTGTACTGGGTGTGGCGGACGCATGTGGCCACCCCCTCTGGGGCTTTACGTGGAGCTCCCCATGGGGCCACGAAGCGCTGTACTGGGTGTGGCGGACGCATGTGGCCTTCCCCACTGGGGCCTTACGTGGAGCTCCCTGTGGGGCCACGAAACGCTGTACTGGGTGTGGCGGGCGCATGTGGCCACCCCCATTGCGACCGCAGGTGGGGCTCCCTATGGGGCCACGAATCGTTGTACTGGGTGTGGCGGACGCATGTGGCCACCCCCACTGGGACGTTGGGTGGAGCTCCGTGTGGGGCCACGAAGCGCTGTAGTGGGTGTTGCGGACGCACGTGGCCACCCCCACTGGGGCCGCAGGTGGCTTTCTTTATGGGGCCACGAAGCGCTGTACTGGGTGTGGCGGGCGCACGTGGCCACCCCCACTGGGGCCTTACGTGGAGCTCCCCATGGGGCCACGAAGCGCTGTACTGGGTGTGGCGGACGCATGTGGCCACCCCCTTTGGGGCTTCACGTGGAGCTCCCCATGGGGCCACGAAACGCTGTACTGGGTGTGGCGGGCGCATGTGGCCTTCCCCACTGGGGCCTTACGTGGAGCTCCCGGTGGGGCCACGAAACGCTGTACTGGGTGTGGCGGACACATGCGGTACACCCTCACTGGGACCGCAGGTGGAACTCCGTGTGGGGCCACGAAACGCTGTACAGGGTGGGTGAAACGCATGTGGCCACCCCCACTGGGGCCGTGCGAGGAGCTCCCTATGGGGCCACGAACCGCTGTACTGGGTGTGGCGGACGCATGTGGCCACCCCCACTGGGGCCGCAGATGGCGGACGCACGTGGCCACCCCACTGGGGCCGCAGGTGGACCCCCTCATGGGGCCACGAGACGCTGTACTGGGTGTGGCGGACGCACGTGGCCCCCCCCGCTGGGGCCTTGGGTGGAGTTCCCTGTGGGGCCACGAAGCGCTGTACTGGCTGTGGCGGACGCATGTGGTCACCCCCACTGGGGCCTTGCGTGGAGGTCCGTGTGGGGCCACGAATCGTTGTACTGGGTTTGGCGGACGCATGTGGTACAGCCTCATTAGGGCCGCAGGTTGGGCTCCTTGTGGGGCCACGAAACGCTGTACTGCGTGGGTGAAACGCATGGAGGAGGGAGGAATGGGGGAGGGGGAGGAGGGAGGAGGGGGAGGAGAGGAGAAGCGAGGAGGGGAGGGACGCGGGGACCGTCTCTTCAAAACGAGGACCCAACACCACATGATGGTTGGGAAACGAACTTACACCACATCGCTTGCTCCACATAGCTTTTACCACGTAGCTTGCATCACATATCGTCCACCACATGTATATACATATATCCGGGGTCCAGGCTAGGGGACCCTAAGGACAACACCAGATCTCCATGCCGGTGGCAGGGAATGTCTGGCCTTCGAAGACGGGCCAGGAGGTCCCACCAAACCCCCACGATGATCCAACAAGGATCAGGCAGGGATCTGGATCACCGACAACCGCTCCGAGACGCACAATATGGCCCCAAGATGCGCCACGAAACCGCTCAAGACGCCTCCAAAAACCCTCCAGATAGCGGCCCGACAGGCCAACATCTTGATGTTTATTGTTTTTTTCCAGAAGTTTGTTGCTTTCTCGCGTTTTCGGGCTTCCGACGAACTAAAGCGGACCAAGAGGTCCCCAAGACCCCCCCAAGACGGTCCAGGAGGAGGAGGAGGAGGAGGAGGAGGAGGAGGAGGAGGAGGAGGAGGAGGAGGAGGGAGGAGGAGGAGGAGGAGGAGAGAGGAGGAGGAGGAGGAGGAGCAGGAGGAGGAGGAGGAGGAGGAGGATGAGAGGAGGAGGAGGAGGGGGGGGAGGGGGAGGGGGGAGGGGGAGGGGGGGGAGGGAGGGGGAGGAGGGAGGAGGGAGGAGGGAGGAGGAGGAGGGAGGAGGGAGGGGGAGGAGGGAGGAGGAGGAGGGAGGAGGGGAGGAGAGGAGGGAGGAGGAGGAGGGAGGAGGAGGAGGGAGGAGGGAGGAGGGAGGAGGGAGGAGGGAGGAAGGGGGAGGAGTCAGGCGAAAAATGACCCCCCCCAAGTGTAATTCGAGCAGAGCCGAAATCCAGCTGACCCCTCCTGGGCTCTCGTGCATCCTTGCGCGTGGCTTCTTTTTCCTTGCGGCCAGCTTTTTGGTGTGCGCGGTTAGCGTGGCTATGGCGCGGCAGTCTCTCGCGCGTGCTTGTGTCAGGCTGGCGCAGCCAGCGATGGCGTCGTAGCGAACGGCGCCGACTCCTTGCGATTGCGTCCGCGTCGGGACCGTTCGCGCGCGCTTCGTCATTCGCATTTTTTGAACTTTCTCCAGTGCGCTTCGCGCGCGCCGGCCCTTCCCTTGTTCCCCTCCCGCCTCCCGCCACCTGGCAGAGGCCATGGCCTCACGCGCTTTGCCCACCCGGGCACAGGCGCGTGCCCCGCCGCGCATGTCTGGACCAGCACCTCGTTCGTTCGCTCCTCTCCCCCGCCGCCCACTGCCCAGATCCCCGGACGTCGTGATTTTGTTTCCGCAGCGTGGATCCCCAGAAGCCTCGACCCCTTCCCCAGGACGGGCTCTTCGTCCCGAGCCCTTCCTGAACGCCCCTGGGGCCCGGCCAGGGCCCCCGGGACCCAGGCCCGCCGTCGCGATTCTGTCAAGACGCGGGGAGGTGGGGGGCACCTCCGAGGCTTGCGAGGTCCTCGCGAAGGCGAGCCTGGACGGCCGCCTCGGCCATGCCCTCAACGGCATCCTGGCCGAGAAGGCCCCCTCGTGCGCGGTGGCCCTGCGCCCGCACGCCCCTGTGGCCAAGTAGGGTTGTCATAAGGATGAGCAGCTTACCAGGGGTACCCTTGCATTCCTGCCTCTCGGCCCATCCTAACCCTTCATGAGCCATGGGAATTCAATGATGTAAATTCAGCATCGGCGCTGGTACATCCGCGGTCGAGAGGGGGCCCAATCCCGTGTCACTCCATTTCGCTGAATCCTTCTCAGTCCGGCGTGTTCGGCCTTACTCCCGGGCTTGCTCCGGGTGACTTTGCTTAGTGGCGTCCCGCTAGGGCTCATTAGGCCCTTACGCAGTCCTTCCAGGAACTGCATACTCTCCAAACTTCGGTGCCCATTTGGGCGTTGCGGGCGAGGTCGACGGCGGGGGGATCGGCGGCGGTGCGTTTTCGGGCGAGGAATTGTCGAGTGGTGGGTTCCAAAAACACTCCTCCTCCACTGTGCGCAGCTCTCCTTCCGTGATTGCGCATGGCGCAATGGGGTCCTTTTTGGGCGGTTCCAAGTCCGCTATGACGCCCGTAAGTGGATAGAGAAACAACAACAGCACAATGAGACGGGATGGGTGTGAGGGGTTGGATGTCAGATACGGCGTGGGCGCATTCAGTTTACCTTCTACACCGACACGCTATGAATACGTTTTTTTTTTTTTTTTTTTTTTTTTTTTTTTTTTTTTTTTTTTTTTTTTTTTTTTTTTTTTTTTTTTTTTTTATCTCTCTCTCTCTCTTTCTATCTCCCTCTCTCTCTCTCTCCCCTGACTGCGTGCGGAAGGTATCCAGCCTCCTCCGCGTACGTTTTGGTGTTGTTTGGTTGTTTGTTTGTAGTTTTAAGTTTTCACTTCGAGGAAACAGACATTTAATATTGTGAGCGTTCTCCTAAAGAAAACAATGCGACTGTTTTTGGCGTTTTAAAATGGTGTTCAGCTTCAGCATGGGCCTCATTTCCAGATCGGCGCCTTGCTTCTGTTGTTCAGAATGGCGATCTCGCCCCAGCGCAAGTTTTTTTTCGAGAAGATCTGGGTATTTTTTTATCGTTGTCGCTCCCCTCATTTCCTCCGCCTTCCCCTGGTCCTCCTGCTCCTCCCGCTCGTTGCACTCCAGCTCCTGCAGCTGTTGTTCGTCCTCGTCCTCCCTCCTCTTCCTTTTCCTCCCTGCTCCCTCCTCTTCCTCCTCCTCCGTCTCTTCCTTTTCCTCCTGCTAATCAGCCATCTCCTACTCCTCCTCCTCCTTCTCCTCCTCCTCCTCTTCCTCCTCCTCCTCCTCCTCCTCCTCCTCCTCCTCCTCCTCCTCCTCCTCCTCCCCCTCTTCCTGTGCACACAGCTCCAAGTGTCCAATTACGAAAAATACGATGTGGTCTTCCTGGGAGTTTCAGGTCCGCTATGACATGCGTCCGCGAATAGAGGAACAATCAGCGCAATGGTAAGGGATGGGAGGGAGGGGTAGGCGTTAGATCTGACGCGAGCCCACCTGGCTTGTCCCCTGTCCTCTTTCCATTCTCGTCCTCCTCCTCCTCCCCTTCCCTCCTCCTCCCCGTCGTCCTACTCCTCCTCCTCCTCCTCCTCCTCTTCCTCGTCCATTCCCTTCTACACAAGTCCTCCCTGTCGCACCCCGAGGCCACTCGGAAAGGCCAGCCGGGCGTTTCGCCTGAGAGTTTCTGGCAATATATGTAGACATTGACAGCGTTTTCATAGATGGAGGGCGGGCCGCTTCCAAGAAGTGGCTTTCGCCTTAGCGCCGCGCACATTCGTCCCAAAAGCTTGCAAGAGCTTCGCATATGGAGGGCGGGCCGCTTCCAAACGTGCCTCTCG